TATGTTGGTTGTTTCTAATTAATAGCTAATCACAGCTCAGCTGGCTCAGACAGAGAGCCCGAGCCACAAGCTTTTATTATCATTCCTTATTATTCTATTCTTAGCCAGCTTTCTGAGGATTTTTTTTCTTCTATTCTTTTAATAGAGTTTTAATGTAATATATATAATAAAATAATAAATCAAGCTTTCTGAAACATGGAGTCAAATCCTTGTTTCTTCCCTCAACCTGAGACCCCTGTGAACACTGTCACACTCTGCCTGCTGCCTTGCAAGGGAACACTCCTGGTGGCAGGAGTGGATTAAAATTGGCACTTCTGCACCAGGCACTTGGAGAAAGCCCCCCTGGAAGCAGATCTGGCTGCTCAGGTGACACTACACTTTACTGAGTCTCCTCAAAAGAGAAGTGTGACCTCAGCCTGCTTCCAAACCCGAGCATTTTCACAGAGTCATGCTTTGCAGTCATCCCCTTCAAGTTCCCTAGTAGCTTTTAGACAAAATTCCTTATCAGAGAAAAGCAGAGTTGGGGTTAATTGCATCCAGAGCTGACAAAAAAAAGCAACCAAAACAACAGGCTCCGAGATCTGCTTTGGTTCTGTGTGAGTGCAGAGGAGAAAGGGCTGGGAGCATCCCCTTGGAGAGCAGGGCTGTGCTGGGGAGAAGATTTGGGCCCAAAAAGCAAAGCATGAAATCCTTCATATGAAATCCTTCACACTCACAACACACCTGATCCTGACAAAGCTGGGGGGACACAAGCCTTGCAGGAATCAGGCTCCTGATTCTTGGGGAACATCCTGGTTGCTCAGAACCCACAAATAAAGGATTCAAATAAAGGTCCCTGTTAGAGTTACTTGTTTCCAGGTGGTTTTGTACAAGTTTTGCACCATTTCAAATGTTCTGCACTGGAGCTCTGGAGGGATGAAGGGACCTGGATCGCTCCCCATCCTCTCAAGCCAGGATTTGGGAGGCTGGAGGAGCTGCTCTGCTGACAATCTGTGAGAATCAAGTGAAGCCAGGGGGAAAAAATCCTGCAAATGCAAGAGCAGAAGCAGGATATTGGAGGATATTGGAGCTGTGGCCACTGGAGGAGGGAGATGCACAAGGCTGTCCCGACTGACCCAGCAGAGGGTGAGGAGCATACCACGGCTATTTTTAGTCTGTTTACACTGCAGAGCAGGGCTGCAGGCAGGGCCCCAGAGCACCCCAAGCCCCAGTGCCCCCACTGGCAGATCCCCCAGCCCTGAGAAGGTCTGGAAGTCTGGCAGGTTTGGGACCTTTGCAGGGTCACCCTCCTGTTTGTTTGGGGCCGTCACGTAGCAACAAAGGGGAGAAAAACTTTTTTTCCCTTTTTAAACAAACGTGACTGTGAGGATGATGACTCTGGGATGGCGTCAGCTGGGGCTCAGCAGCAGGGCTGGGCCTGGAGCTGCTGTGGGCTCCTCTCCTGCAGCAGCTGAGCTGTTCCCAAAGCTGCCTTTCCCTGTGTTTTCTACTAAAAACTGCAGGAAAACCAAAGTGAGGCAGCAGCAAGGCTGAGCCCTCCTGGCCTGTCCGGGGCTGCTCAGAGCACCCCTGGGAGCTGGCAGGGTTTGGGGGGCACCACACACTGTGGTGATGCTCTGGAGCTGCTCATCCACCACGGGCAGACCCTCCCTGGGGCCTGTGCTGAGCGTGGCCATTCTGGAGGACCAGGGGAGTGGGAGGTGAGTGCAAGGGAGATGCACGAGCAGGGCAAGTGTGCACGTGTGTGTGAACCACTCTCACCTAAGAGTTTAAGGCTCACTATGTCAAGGCAGCAGCATCCATTTTATAAATTCCTCTGGGCTCCTGAGTTAGGAGAGGCCACAGTAGCACAGTCACAATTAGCAAGGATGTGTGGCCATCATTTCCCATTAAAATATCTTCTACTAATTATTCAGCTAAAAGCCGAAATTTACCCTGACTTTCCTTGCAAGAAAGATCCTAAAAGAACAGAAGCAGGCTGGCAGTTTTTATGGGATTTTTCTTTAAATTAACTTTACAAAAAACAACATGCTGAACCTGGAAAAAGAATCTGGAAATCATAATTTTATTTTATGCCAGAAGAGCCCATTCTATCAGGACTCAGTGTCTTCCTTTGGGAGCCACCACAGCACAGCTGAGCTGTGAGTGCCCTGCCATGGACAACACCTGGTGGCAAATTTGGGGCAGCATTTTTAGGAGGAAAAAGGAGAATTGTATGGTCACCCCACAGAAAATTCAATCACTAGCAGCAGCTCTGCCACAAAGCAATGCCTAAGACAGATGTACATGGCAAGGCCTGCTTTGCCTCCTCTCCCACCTGCACCAGTTAAATCCAGTCTAATTCCACTGCCTGCTCTGGGGTTACAGCTCATTTTCATCTCTCTAGACTTGGTCTTGTTTAAAACTCTGTCTAAACCAGATCCCACAAAATTCCTTCAGAAAACTCCTTCAAAAAGTGCAGCTCACATCTCCAAGCTCCACAGTTGGCACAGCGTGGCCCAAACTGGGTCTCTGCAGCCATGGACCCCCCTGCAGCCCCTGGGGCCAGGGAGAACCTGGGAGCTTTGTGGCTCCCCCCTCTGCTCCCCCCTCAGCCCAGCTAATCGGGGGAGTCACAGGGACCTGACAGGTGACAAATAGGATTGTTTACCTGGCAGGAGAGGGGACAGAGCGGAGCCAAGGGCAGTGAACACCAAAGGAAAGAAGACTGGGGGGAGAGGATGTGCAGGGAAACAGCAGGCCTGTCTTTGAGGGTCACAAAGGAGATGGGTTAGGAGGGAAAAAGGTGAGAAGCAAGAGAAGGTGGAGGTGCAGCTGTTTGGATGGCACGTGGGAGCTGTGTGGGGGGAAGCAGAAGGCCAAGGCTGGGCAGAGGTAGGAGAGGGCATTTCTGGGGCACAGGAGTGGAGGAGGTGTGCAGCAGGGCTGGGACACGCAGTGCCAGGCCAGCAGGCCACGGATGGCACCATGGGGGAGGTGAAGTGGCAGGTGCAGGTCCTGGAGCAGCAGAGCTGGGGGAAGGAGAGGGCAGCAGCACGGTGGAGGTGTGAGGAGTGGCACAGGTGTGGATGGGAGCTGCTCCTGGAGAATTGACAATGGTCACCTTGGGCAGGAGCTGCAGCAGCTATGGGGAAAGGTGGTGCCATGGACAGAGGGATAACACAGGGCAAAGCAGAGCATCCCTGGGGCAGGAGGTGCTGGCAGCTCTGGGATGGCAAGCAGGGACAAGGGCCAGCACAGCTGCTCCATGCAGACAGGCCCAGCACTCTGCCCAGAGATTTACCTTTCATGAGAGAGGTGAAGCAGGCTGCCCCAGGGTTTAGGGAGCTCAGGCTCCCTGCCACCTGAGGGCTGGAATGGGGGACAGTTACAGGGGAATGGGGATGTGTGGGGGGGGATGACAGGCCTGGCTCACCCTGGCAGCATCAAAAGGCTGGGGCTGGGCAGCACTGGGGGCTATGAGAGGGGATGGGGTGAGGGCTGTGAGGGGCTGAGCTGGGCCGGGGACTGGTGGGGCTGTGAGGGGAGGAAGGCTGGGGGGAAGGAGCTATGGGGGACCAGGGTTCTGTAGGGCTGGGAGCTATGAGGGACCAGCGCCTGTGAAGGGCCTGAAAGCAGGGGCTGGGGAGCCTGTGAGGGGCTGAGCCGGTGCCAGGGGGCTGTCGGAAGTCAGGCCATGGGAATGCGGAGGGATGAAACAGGGGACAAGTGGCTGTGGAGGGCCAAGGAGCCGCGAGGGGGTGGAACCAGGGGCTGGAGAGGGAAAGATGCGAAGGGCCAGAGCCGTGAGGCCGGGACCATGAGGGTGATGGAGCCCGAAGCTCTGGGTTATGAGATGTTGGGGGGGCTGCAGGGGCCTGGCCCCGAGCGGGGCCTCACCCTGCCCCTCCCCGCTCCCCATCCGCCGCCGCCGCCGCCGCTCCCGGGGCTCACCCTCCCGTTCCCTCCTCGTCCCTGCCCATGCCGTCCCCGCTCACCTCGCTCGTGCTGGCCGAGGAGGCGGCGCTGGGGGTCGGCGAGCGCTGCAGGGTGACCAGCGCCATGGCTGCAGCTGCGGGGCTGCGGCCGCCTCCCCCTCACGCCGGGAAGGGGCGGGCCCGGGGCGGCGCCTGCGAGGGAAAGGGCGGGGGCTGGAATGGGAGGAGCTTCCATCGATGGGCGTGGCTTATTTGCTGTGATGGGCGGAGCTTGTTGTGATGGGCGGGGCTTCCCGGCCCATCCCACCCCAAACTCCGCCCCCAATATCCCATTCCATGGCAGGGACACTTTCCAATGTCCCAGGTTGATCCAAACCCCGTCCGACCTGGCCTGGGACATTCCCAGGGATGGGGCAGCCACAGCTGCTCTGGGCAGCCTGAGCCAGGGCGTGCCCAGCCTCACAGAAAGGAATTTCTTCCCAATATCCCATCTAACCCTGCCCTCTGGCATTGGGAAGCCGTTCCTCCTTGTCCTGTCACTCCAGGCCCTTGTAAATAGTCACTCTCCATTTTTCCATCAGGCTGCCTTCAGGTACTGGAAGGCCACAATTAGGTCCCTTCAATGCCTTCTCTTTTCCAGGCTGAACAATCCCAATGCACTCAGCCTCTCTTCCTACTCAAAAACTGAGCCAGAAGCACTCAATTTTTCCATATCCCACAGGAATTTTGTGTTCAAGAAGCAACTGGATGTGACATTAGTGCTGTGGTCTAGTTGACAAGATGGTGATCAGTCAAAGGTTGACCTCTGTCATCTTTCCCAATCTAAGGGGTTCTGCAAATCCACATCCCAGGGAAGTAACAGAATCACTGCTGCTGGAAAAGATCTCCAGGACCATGCCCATAAACACATCCCTGTGTCCTGGTGTGCCAGTGCTCACCATGGAGACAAGAGGCAGGGGTGGCACTTTGCCACGGATGGTGGTGACCCCGTTTTCCATGGCTCTGGGGCCTCCTGCCAGCGGCATCACGTGGCAACTCCACCTCCCAGAGCGAGAGCAGACTTTGGCCCTGCTGCCGTGGACACTCAGACCTTGCCCTGCTGAGCTGCAACAACTCTGACTCTGAAGCCTCTGGACACGGCACTGACCGCTCCAGGGACCCCACACTCTGCAGGTAAACTGGTGGAAAATGTGCATTCCCGTTATTTTTTGGCAGATCCTCCTCAGCTGGCGCTGCAGGGGCAGCTGGGGCGAGTCCCTGTCCCTGCTGGAGGAGGTGACCCTGGATCCTGAGGGTTATAAAACCATGGCAGATGGGAAGCAGCTCCCACTGTGCCGTTCCAATGACTCATCCCTCCATCCTGGCAAATGTCACCCCCCTGTTGTCACAGCAGAGATGCTGGACTTCACCTTGGCCAAAAAAAAAAAAAACAACCTGGAGGCTGGAATTTATTCCTGCTCCCAGAACCAGCCAAGGATCTTCACTCCCAACCCTTTTCCAAACTGGTTTTTGTCCACTCCCTGCACAGGAGTGACCACAGGGCTTTTCCAAGGAAAGCAGGGAAGCAGAGGATGGAGAGGGGCTGCAGCTGTGTCCAGTTCTGGCCCCTCAGTTTGGGGAGGACATTGAGACTCTGGAGCACATCCAGAGGGGCCTGGAACACAAACCCTGTGAGGAACCACTGAGGGAGCTGGGGGTGCTCAGCCTGGAGAAAAGGAGACTCAGGGGTGACCATATCACTCTCTACAACTCCTGAAAGGTGGTTTTAGTATGGTGGGGCTGGGCTCTTTCTCCAGGGACTGACAGAACCACAGTCTCAAGCTGCACCAAGGGAAATACAGGTTGGATATTAGGAAAAAGTTTTTTATGGAAAGAGTGATAAAGTTCTGGAATGGCTGCCTGGGGAGGTGGTGGAGTCACCATCCCTGGGTGTGTTTAACAGAGCCTGGATGTGGCACTGGGTGCCAGGGTTTGGTTGTGGTGTTGGGGCTGGGTTGGACTCAATGATCTTGAAGGTCTCTTCCAACCCAGTGATTTTGTGATTGTGCGAATTCTGAGATTCTGTGATTCTGTGAATTCTGGATTCTGTGAATTCTGTGATTCTGTGATTTGCAGCCGGAATTTACCCACAGCCATCCTCCCAGCTGTGCCTGGAAGGGTTTGGGGTGGTGGCTCCTGTGCAGCCCTGTGGGTGACAGTGGTGTGAGGATCCAACCTTGCACCCATCACAGCTGGCATTGCTCCCTGGGAAACAACTGCTGCTTCCCATCTTTTTCACCCGTGCCCACTCAGAGCAGGGTTGGGTCACTGGGAGGGGAGGGTTCACCGTGTCCCTTGGGAGATGGAGCTGTGGTGGGTGCTCCAGCATCTCCCTGCCTGCTCAGCCTGTGGCTGGTGGGACACACAGGAGGATCCCTGGGGCAGGACACACCTGGAGCTCCTTGTGCCAGCAGTGCAGCCATGCCAGCCGAGCTGCAGCTTTTCTGCTGGCACATCCATGGGTGGAGACACTGTGAGGAACCACAACCCCCATCCATGATTCCTGGATCAGAGCTTGAGGAGGGCTGGGAGGCTTAACAAGAATGAACCACGAGGACCTCAGCCCTTCCCCGCCGCTCTGGCAGTGCAGCTGAGCTGATGTTCCCCCGTGGTGTCCCCAGCTTGTCCCTCAGCCCCAGCCGTGCCCTCGGAGCCGCAGCCATGCGTGTAGCCGTCATCGGGGCCGGGGTGATCGGGCTCTCCAGCGCCCTGTGCATCCAGGAGCAGTTCCAGAGCCTGCTGCCCTCCCTGCAGCTGGAGATCTACGCCGACCACTTCACCCCCCACACCACCAGCGACGGGGCAGCCGGGCTGTGGCAGCCCTACGTGAGTGACCGCGGCAAGCTGCAGGAGACGTAAGGCAGCAGCAGCAGGATGAGGAGGATGAGGATGGTCCCTCTCCCTGTGTGCCATGAGCTGCCCTGGCACAGCTCCATGGGGCTGGCAGGGCCACCACTGTCCCATTCTCACCCCAGGCTCTGGAATAAAGAGACGTTCGATCACCTCCTCGGGCAGCTGCACTCCCCAGCAGCCAAGGAAATGGGACTTTTCCTCATTTCTGGCTACAACCTGTTCAGGGAGCCACCGCCGGTAAGGAAGGAGCAGGTCACAGCCTGGGCTGGGGAGGGTTCCAGGGGCTGTGCTTCTTCCAGCCAATGCTTCCCAATATTTCCAAATTTGCCTTGGGACGTGGTGTTTTCTGTGCTCCCGAGGCAATACTGGTGTGAGGATCCAATGGGAGAGTGGCAGTGACAGAGCCTGTCCAGCTGTGCTGGCAGCTGCACATCCAGCTGTGTCCCTCTGGGATGGGCTGTGTCCCATGGGAGGTGTCCCATGGCTCCTGTCCCACGGTGATCCCAGCTCATTAATGATCTCAGGACATTATTCCCGGCTCATTAATGATCTCAGCTTTTTCTCTTCAGGATCCATCCTGGAAGAACGTTGTCCTGGGGTTCAGGCACTTGACACCAAAAGAACTGGAACTCTTCCCTGGTTACAGGTATTTTTCAGTGAGTTTTAGGACAGTCCTGGATACATCCTGAATATAGCCCTGGCATGAGGCAGCGGGACAAGGAACTGCAGATGTAGAAATGTCCTCACTTCTTTAAAAATGCTTCCCTTCAAATAAGTAAGAAACAGCTCAGATGCTGCCCAAAAAGCAGCAATCCAGCATAGAAACCATTCCAGCTCCTCTCTTACCTCAATGTCAACATAGGAGAGGAAAACCAGAAGGTGTTTTATGCTATAAAAAGGGAGGGAAAATCACACACTCATGTGAGGAGGGTCCCAGGGGGAATTGGGGTCCCAGACCCACGGTGTCTGTCAGGAATGTTGGGGCAGGAGGCTCCTGCAGGCGCTCACAGCCTCCTCTCCTCCTCTTTCAGCCATGGCTGGTTCAACACGGCGCTGATGCTGGAGGGCAGGAGTTACCTGCCCTGGCTCACCAACAGGTGAGTGCAGCTGCTCCTGCCTCCTCTGGCTGCAGGTGTGGATTTTCATCCTGCACATCAGGATAGGGTGGGCAGAGATGCATCCCTGGGAAGAGGCTCTGGAATTCCTGTTCATTGCCCCAGTGGGGTAACACATTTACAGTGAGCCCAGGAGTGTAATTTTTGCATGACAAAAATCAAAGTAATGGGATACGTGGAGCTGTATCCAAGTGCTTTTGGAAGAATTTGGGCTTTGATTTTATTCCTGTAATTTCTAATGCTGAGCAGGTGTCCTGGTATTGAACATTTCCTTTTAATTTGCCAGTAACAAATGAACTTTTGCTTCCCAGGCTGACGCAGAGGGGAGTGAAGTTTTTCCATAAGAAAGTTGAGTCTTTCCAGGAGGTGAGTGGGGATGTGGAGCCAGGGCACAGGGCACAGCCCCATCCCAGAGGGGAGAAGCAGCATCCAGCAGGCAGGGGCTGCTCTGGGATATTCCCTGGCATGAGTGATGGGACAGGGAACAGCAGCAAGACTATGCCAAAATCCAGAAAATAAATTCTACCAGGAAAGATAAAAGGTTTTGGGTATTAAGGGATGGCTGACAGAGGATGGGGTAGAGCATTTATCCTGCATGGATTGCCAGCTTTCCCTGGAATGGCTTGGTGGCACACATGGGATGTCAGCAGGAGCTGGCTGGGGTAGAAGCTGTGCCCTGGATCTGCCCCTTAATGCTTTATCCATTTCCTGACTGTTGGAAAGAATACTTGGCTGGTTTGGAAGCAGGAATGTTGTGCCTCTGTGGAACATAATATCCCTGTGTGCTGCTCCCTCTCTCCTCAGCTGTTCTCCCAGGGTGTGGATGTGGTGCTGAACTGCAGTGGGATGCGCTCAGGGGAGCTGCAGCCCGACCCAGAGCTGCAGCCTGGCCGGGGCCAGATCATCAGGGTGAGCTGGGGCAGGCCTGGGGCTCCCCAAAAACCCATCTGTACCACGAGGAGTGGCTGGGGAGAACCATGGGCTTGCGGCTGGGTCCACACTGGGATCAGGCCCTGATTCCCAGCACACACTGCTCATGTGGAACCAACAGATCCCATTCCTGGTCCAGCTGTGGGAATGCCCATAGGGTGAGGGCTGGGGGAGCTCAGAGGCACAATGCTGATAATAAAATGACAAAATCTTTGGGGAAAGGTGGTGATTATTTGGAGAAACACAGGTGAGTAGGAATCTCCTGCCTGCCTGCACTCCTGTTTTCCCATCTTCCCAGGGAAGCCAGCACAGGGAACACTGAGCTAAGGGAGGGTCCCATATCTGGATCCTCACGTCCCTCCTGCTGTCCCCTGAGCCTGGCACCCATTCTGACTCTCTCTTTCATGTCCCAGGTGCTGGCCCCATGGGTGAAGCATTTCATCATCACTCACGACCTCAAATCCGGGATCTACAACTCGCCCTACGTCATCCCAGGGTAAGTGACCAGGGCTGGCTGGCACCAGTGACATTCCTCTGCCACTGTCCCCAAAGCCTGGGCTGGGACATGGCTCCTGAGGTGTCTGCCAGGCCTGGCTTCATCCCTGGTGCTGTTCTTGCTGTGTGGGAGGAGAGCAGAAGGACGTGGGCAGCAAAGCGAGGGAGCTCGCAGTCGGCACAGAGAGCACCCAGCACCACGGTGCTCCCATGTCCTTTTCCAAGGATCAGATCCCACCAAGGCAAACTCCACCCTGGCCAAGTCCCCAAACAGCCAAACACTGACAGTGGAGTGGATATTTTGGGGGAGAAGTTTTGTTTTCACATCTTTATCATCAACAGTGTGGACCAAACTGTGGTGCAGCAGCTCAGGGTAGGGAAAGGCACTGTTGATCCATGCTCCCATAAAAACAGGGCAGGAATTCTTTTACTTCAACAAAAATTCCTTGGGAAAGCTCAGCCTGGGGGCACTGTCCCCTCAGCTGCTGGTGAGCCTGGGGGCATCTCAGTGGGTTTATCATGGAATATCCTGAGCTGGAAGGAACCACAAGGATGGAATCCAGCTCCTGGCTCTGCCCAGGGAGCTACACCATGGGATAAATAAATCCATCTGCTGGTCATCCCAGCTCTGCTTCCTCCCAAGGGCCTGCAGTGACCCTGCTCTGGCAGTGAAGAGGGGTCTTTAAGCTGGAATTTGAATGCTGCATCTCTGGCACTTCCTATTGTCCTCCCATTTCAGGCTCAGGCAGTAAGCCAGGATGCAAAGAGGAGCTTTGCAGGTTCACAGCCCCCATGCAGCACAGTCTGAGTGATTCCTGATCACAGGCCCAGATGAATTCCTCTGCCTGTGCTTGTTTTAGCTGGAGCTGTCAGGGCTGATCCCAAAGGAAGAGCTGGATCCCATTCTCACGTGAGGGCACCCCTTCCCTGCTGGACAGCTCAGCCCTGGAGGGTCCCTCCCTCCTTTTGCTTTTGTGCTTCCCAATGATCAGGAAAGGTTTTGGAAGGGTCCAGCCAGCACAAACCCCTCCAAGCACCCCTCAGCCTTAACCTGCCTCTTGTTCTCTGTTAATCCACAGAAGTTTGGGGCAGTAGCAGCACCAATCTCTGTGTTCCCCTCCAGATCCATCCTGTTCCTCTTCCTGAGCCAGGCAGGGGCAGACCTGTTTGATAAGGATGGAATTATCTGTCTGCTGTGCCCAGACAAAGAAGGGCTGACAGGATTTAATGAGTGACTTGCTCACGAGCAGACGTGCAGGCTCCTCTCCCTGCCTGCTCCATGTGGGAGTTCCTCCCACAGGAATATTTTGCAGGCTCAGGGTGTAGCAGGATCCATCACCACACTCACACAGTGTCCCTCCACGTGGTGGCCCCACAGGGGACAGCTGGGGACAAGCCACCACCCCTGTGTGTCTCCTTTGGCTCCTGGTGCAGGAGCGAGTTCACAGTCCTGGGAGGGGTTTACCAGCACGGAAACTGGAGTGAGGAGAACAGTGCCAAGGACCACAAATCCATCTGGGACAGCTGCTGCCAGCTGCTGCCAGCTCTCCAGGTGGGTGACCCGACTGCCAGCATGGGGCACAGGGAGCTGGGGGGGCTCAGGATGTAGGAATGAGTGCTGGGACAAAGCACAGGAGCTGTTTCCATGAGTCAGGGTTTCTGTGTGTCCATCATCAGGGTTTCTGTGTGTCCATCATCAGGGTTTCTGTGTGTCCATCATGGACACCCAGGGCTCTTCCACCTGGCTGAGGGACAGCAGGGCTGGGGCTGGCACTGAGACAAGGTTTGTAGGGATAATAATTACTCATGTATAGAACGAGAGCTTTGGGAGGTTCCAGCCCATTGTCCCCACACCTTTAGAGAAGGGTTCTGTGGGGTGAAGCTGGGTTGTGTCCACTCCCAATGCTGCTGTTATTCCCTGGATTAGCAGGAAAGGTGCTGTGGGGCTTTGGCACAGGGATTTGCCTCAGCTCCAGGCTGGCACTGCTATCCCAAATTGTTCTGCCTGGAGCTGCTGCAGGATGGGGAAGTTTCTGTCTCTGCTCATCTCAGGGCTCAGCTGGTGCCGTGAGGTTTGGCTGGGGGGATTCCAAGGAATGCTGTGCAGTGCTGACGTGCTTTTGCTTCCAGAAGGCGAAGATCGTCGGGGAGTGGAGCGGGCTGAGACCAGCACGGCCCTCGGTGCGCCTGGAGAGGGAGAGCATCCGGCTGGGGAATCGCCAGGCAGAGGTACCCGCCCAGTGTAATTAATCACCGTGTTAATTGTGCCTGGGGCAGCGATTAAGAAGCCCTGTTCCTGTGATCATCCCTCTCTCCATCTCCCCACCACAGCGAGGGAATCTTTGAGTCCAGGGATAAATGTCAGAGACACTCAAACAAATGATTGATGTCCTGCCCCATCTCTGGAAGTGCTCAGGGATCTGTTGGAGCAACCTGGGCTTGTAGGAGATGTCCCTGCCCACATCAGGGGATGGGACAAGAAGGGCTTTGAGATCCCCCCAGCCCATGCTGGCATTCTGTGCTTCTCCCCCAGGTGATTCACAACTACGGGCACGGCGGCTTTGGGCTCACCATCCACTGGGGCTGTGCCATGGCAGCAGCTCGGCTCTTTGGGACCATCCTGCAGGAGAAGCAGCAGCTGGGCACCCCTCCAGGATCCCGTCTGTGAGCTCCTGCTCCTCTGGAACGTGTGACAAAAGTGGCTTAGGAATCACAGCAGAAGGATGGGAACAGCACAGGGATTCACACACGGCTTGACCCAGCTCTGGCTCTCAGCGTCTCATTTCCAGGTTGCTGCCATTTTCCAGACGTCTCCACTCCCTCCACACCCTGCCTGGAGGAAAGGCTTTCAAATATGGACTAATCACCCGTGGCAAAGTGCACTGAGGGCTGTCTGGGGTCAGGCTGGGTTCAGCTGAACCCTGCACAGCCCTGCAGTTCATCTGCACCAGGGGACGGGATCTGAAACGGAGCTGGGGACACCTGAGGTCTCTGCTGGCTGCTCCAACACCCCAGGGTGTAATTAGATTTACAGGCTCCCCCCCAGGAGGCAAAAGCTCCTTAGTAGGAAGAAGCTCTGAGGCTCCCAGGGAAGGAGCAGCAGCTCTGGGAGCACGTGCCTGGCTCACTCCAGTTTCCCTCACATTCCTGCCAGGACAGAGCTCGGGCCACAGCACCTGCTTAGTGTAGCTGGCACCAGACAGCAACACTTGCCTAAAATGGCCTTTCCAAACGATGTTTTAGCAACAAAAGCAACTTGTTCCAGCCCTGTGGGCTTGCCAGACTCTATATATAGCAGAGAGCATACGAAAATAGCTCTTCTTGTCCCTAGAACTCCCACGGGCCCCTCAGCTTCCCACTTCTCCCAGCTTGGAGAGAGGGCCTGGCTTGGGGAAGGTTGTGCTTCTCAGAGGAGGAGCAAAACTTTTTGGGGTGATCAGGGATGCTGTTGGGGACCCAACACACTGCTATGAAGACACAGCCTGGCTGATCTTCCCATGCCATGTGTCCTTCCTGCTTTACAAACCAATCCCAGCCAGGATGGTGAGGAAGCCTCAGATCCAAAGGCTGTGGTGAGCCCAGCACAGTGCCTGGCTCACTCTCCTGTGTGGATAAGCCAAGTGCTCCTTACTCATCCGTGGTGCAGCTCCTGTCTCCTGCTGCCTCTGTGTGCCAGGAATAGCTCAGCAGCGTGGGCACCTCCCTGCTGGGCTCAGCAGACACAGCTGGGCTGGGGAAATTGGGAGTCACTGTCCAAAGCATTCCCAGCTTCCCTGGAAATGCTGCAGTCACTGGGTAAAGTCAGGAAAACAAAGGCTGGAGGAAATTCCCTGCTGATTAATGCTGAACTCAAGGGGCTGTGATGCCACCTCAGGAAAAGCCATTCAGGGGAACTGGAGCCCTTCATTTATTCCAAATATGAAACATTCAGGAGCTCATTCTCTGCTGTAAATCCAGCCCCACTTTGGTGATTTTGGGAAAATTCCACTGGACAAACAGGGGTGTAGGAAATCACTGTACACCTGACAAGAAGCAGCTGATTCTTTGATCTCAGAGCCTGCAGGAGCCCTGTGATCCCACGTGGCCTCTGGGCAAACAGGAGTGAGCTGATCTGTAATTTCATTTGCAGGTTAACTCTGTTTGTTTTCTAAAGGCCTCAATTTAATCTGTGTGACCAATAAAGGGAATGTTCAGACCTCTTGTGCATTTGGTGGTTCTTCCTCTCAGTGATGGCACAGGAAGGGCCTCAAGTGCTGATTCCACAGGAATGTCCCAGGAGATCATCATTCCATGTCTCCACACACATTTTTCCTAAATATTTCATCCTGGGAGGAGTAGGAATCATCACTCCAGATTCCAAGCAGACCAGGGAACCTGGAATATCACCCTGTGAAGATCTCTGGTTGCTGACAGTGCCCAGGGCATTAAGAACTCACAGAACTCACAGAATTGTGGATTTGGATGGGAAGGGACCTTGAAGATCATCCAGTCCAGGGCAGGGACACCTTCCACTAGCCCAGGTTTCTCCAAGCCTCCTCCAACCTGGCCTTGGACACTTCCAGGGATGGGGCAGCCACAGCAAATCCCCACTTCTTTCAGTTTTATCAATTTTAATCAATTATCAAAATAAATTTTAATCAGAGGCACTAAAATTCATTTTGAGGCCAGGGAAGGTCAGGGAATGGGGTCTGGACAATTCCTGCCTGTCCTCTGACACACACAAAGCACCACCTCCCATCTCCAGTGTCAGCACATTTTAGAAACTCCACAAGGACCTCCTGTGACCCAGAACAAAGCTGGAAGCACATCAAGTATCAGGGAATTCAGCAAACAGCAGCTCTGGCATCTGGGAAAACTCCTGCCAGAGCTCAAAGAGTGTTTGGACACCACTCCCAGGGATGCACAGGGTGGGATTGCTGGGGAGTTGGACTGGATGATCCCTGTGCTCCCTTCCAGCTCAGGATATTCCATAATCCTGAGGATGAGCTTTAGAAATGCCTGAGGATGCCAAAAAGTAACCACAGATAGAAGAATATTCCACCAGCATTGCTTCAGCCACACAAACCCTTCCAGTTCCCAATTATTTCCATTCCCAGGAAGGAGACTCTGCATCCCAGGCTGGGAGGAGGAAGATGGAAGCTCTGGGATGAAGGAAGATGGAAGCACTCTGGGATGAGGACACCCAGCATTAGCATGAGAAGGATTTGCAGCTCCTGAGTCATTTTGACTCATCCTTCAACCACCTCCTGCCTGTAAATTATTTGGCATCAAAATAAGAATATCAGTGACAGGGTGGAGGAAAATAGGGTTGGGCACTTAATGATGGTTTAGAAAAGTGATAGGGAAATGAAGGGTTTCTACTGAAATGGAAATGAGTAGAAGGAATCCTCCCTGCCCCTAAGTCCAGACACATGTGGAGCCACCTGATGCCAGCACACCCAGGGAAACTGAATTAAATATGAAAATCAATTAAAGATTTAAGAGAATTAAAAAAAAAAAAATTATAGAATCCCTGAATGGTTTGGGTGAGAAGGGATCTTGAAGCTCATCCATTCCCACCCCTGCCATGGGCAGGGACAACTTCCCCTCTTCCCAGGTTGCTCCAAGCCCTGTCCAACCTTGCCTGGAACATTTCCAGGGATGCAGCATCCAGAATATTTTGCTGTAGTGAGGTTACTTACAATGGGAACAGGAATCCTGTGACTTTTCTTTACATCTAAATACACAAAACAGACAGAAAATGAGTCAGACCTGCAGATGCTGAGCCCTGTAGCTCAAACCTCTGAACACTAAGACAAAAAAACCCAAACCAAACAAAACAAAGCTATGATTCTTCCTAAACATCCCCCAGAAGAGCCAAAAACTTATTTCCTGAAAAAACTATTTATTTGTTTAACATAAAATATCTAATGTGGACTTCAACTCTCCAATGCCATGTCAGGAACAGGAACCAGAGGAGTATTTTACAACAAGCTTGAGATACACCAAGTTTTTCAACATTAAAATGTAAATCCAGCTTAGAAACTGTACATTCAGACATGGGAACATTCACTGCTCTTTCAGCAAGTATTTGGGAATAACAAATCATCCCATCCAAATACATTTGGGGAATTACATTCCCACACCAGCTTGGCAAAACCAAATCCCACAATTCTGTTTGAATTCCAAAGGATCTCACTTTCCTGTTTGAAACAAAGCAGTTGCAATAATTCCTTCACCAGTGAGAAATACTCAGTGTGGACAAGGTTTCTTTGGAATATTTTGTACCTAAATGGTGCTGCCCTACTGATAAAATCTACAGTGGTGGTTTAGAACTGGTGTGTGTCAACCCCAGTGTTCTCAGTGAACAAGCTAAAATGGCCTTCTCTTATTAATTATATGCAAATTCCTGCAAATCCTCAATTCCAGCTCTGTTTCTGCAGTGCCCAATGGGCTCCTGCTGAATTCAGCCAGGTGGGCTCAGCTGTGGTGGGCTCCTTTCATTCAGCTGATCCAAAGCCCAGGGATATCCACAGGAGATTTTCCCAGATTTCAGTGAGCTTTGGATCAAGCTTTAAGAAAATCAAAGATCCAGCAACACCAATCTTGGTATTTCTATCCTTAAATAGATTTTTTTTAGTGCAGAATTCATAAAAAGTGAAGAGCAAAAATGCCTTCCATTTTTTTGGTTAACACTGTAAATGTCACAGGTTAAAACTGATCTATTCAACAGCATGGAAAATGTTGCATTCCCTAGAAACCTTTACCTGGGAAGTGGCTTATCTGTAGGATCCAGGGGTGCATGAACAGAGAAACTTCACCTAAAACTCTCTAAAGGCTGTTGAATGCAATTCCTCAAAACTGCTGAATATTCACCTAAAAAAAAATGGAGTGAGATGTGATCATTACCCCAGGAAAGCAGAATTTTAACTCAAGGCATTGATTAACAAACTGGGCCGTGGCCTGTCCTGCACTTTGGATTCTCTGTCACCTCTACCAAGGCTCAGTTCCAGAGTTTTGGGATGCAAACACAGCCCATGGCAAGGCCAGGGAAGGAAGCATGGAAACACCTGGGGGGCTGGAATGGCCTCGAGGGCCTCCAGCAGCAGCAGGGAGAGGATGAGGATGGAATGTCAGAGCTGTCACTGAGGGGTGAACCCAGCTCCAGCAGGTCCCAGCTCCAGCAGGTCCCAGCTCCAGCAGTTTTCCAGCTCTCTGGCCACACATGTGGGGTAATATCAGATTAAACCCACCCAGGATCTGCTTCCTCACTGCTGTGTCCCATACCCACCACGTGAAAGCAGAGGTTCCCCATCCCTGGAAGTGCTCAAGGCCAGGTGAGGATGGGGATTGGAGCAACCTGGTCTAATGGAAAGTGTCCCTGCCTGGAGGAGCTTTAAGGTGTCTCCCAACCCAAATCACTTTGGAATTCTGGTATTCCATGAACAAATCCCTCTGGCTGTGCTCCAGGCACACAGGGAGAAGGATAAAACTCCAGCCTGGCAAAAGGAGGGGAAGATGAGCTGTGCTTGGTGTCAGTGCCAGGAGAGCCCTGGCTGTTTACTGGGATCAGCTGGAGCTTGATTTTGGTGGAATGTGAGGACACAGGGACAGGGACACAAAGGGAACCAACCTAGCTGGAAGGGACAGAGGGTTCTGTGCCACCACCCACAGCTGAGCCCAGGGATCCCTTGGGAGCTGAATTCATTTTCATCTCACTGGGAAAATCCAAGTTTGCCTGTTTCCACCAGCCATTCCTGCAATCCTTCACTGAGTCACCAATCTCCAGTGGGACTGGATGGACACTTGGTGCCTTGGCAAACTCAGTTCTCACCAGAAATCCCTCCCTCACACAATTTCAACCTTTTTCATCAGTTTCCTGGCTTTCTTTAAAGATTTTTCCACTCCTGTTTTCCCCTCAGTCTCCAAACAAGCAGCCTGGCACGTGGTGGAGCATGGAGTGACCTCAGAGCTGTGACCCTCAGTGACAGCTGAGCCCGACAGTGCTCACTTGTACTGCACCAAACATGGACTTGGAGATCTCTTCCTGACCCCAGGAATGGCACCTGCTTCCCAGGATACTGAAAATGTTCAAGTGTACAAATGTGCTGTACATTTACCTGTGTTCAGGTGAGTCACTTGTCAGACAGACCACAAACCCTCACAGCTCCCACAGCCTCACCAAGTCCATCTCACCACATTTGGTTGTGTCCCCCAAGATCTGGAATCCTGAACATCCACTGAGGCACATCTCAGATCTCCACACATTCCCACAGACTCTGCCACCTGACCTGTGCCCAGGGACAGGTTTGTGACAAACCAGATGAGCCTGTCCTCACCTTGTCCTCACCTGAGCTCTGTTACATTCCCTGACAAGAGCAGGATCATCCCTTGAGGAGCCACACCTGAAGATGTTCCTCATCCAAGGGCACTGCAGATGGGCTCTTCCCATGGTTTTGTTCATTTATTCCAGCTACATTCCTCTGTCACCAATGTACAATCAGCAGGAAAGGTCCTGCCCAGCTGCCAGGGAGTGGCTCCATCCCAACACCAGCTGGGGCCGCCCCACCATGAGGACGTGCCCAGGAAATGGAGCAGGGACACACCTGGATCCACACAGAGAACCCCAGGAGTGAGAACTTCCTCACTCCAAGCAACAAGGTCCCTGGCAATACCAGAGAAGTCCAATTCTGCTCCAAAACATGAGGATTTACACATTGGACTCGATGAGCTTGGAGGTCTTTTCCAACCTCAATGACTCTGTGGTTTGCATTTCTGCTACAAGGTCCCAGCTCTGCAGCAAACACCACCCTCCCTGCTCCATACCCACCTGGGATGGCAGAAACAGTCAGAAATCAATTTCCAAGCAATCCAACTCTCCAGAAACAAAACCCAACTGGAAAGCTTGGGTTGGTTTGACAGAATCACATTTTGGTGATGGTTTTGATGGCTAAAAGTGCAAGGCAGGCATTTAATCCATAGTGGTAGGGATGGAATCCACCCTGTGCCAGGCCAGGGCCACACTAAAGATGAACCTCTTGGTTTTAGGCATCAAGAGCTCAGTATTTTAATGACAGCTTATGCTGGGCTGCAGTCACTTGGCATTTGCTTGGCACAGGACATTTTAAGCTGAAGAGCTGACCATGCAAGCACGACAGACTGAAGAGAAACCCTTCCTGCTAAACCTCCAAGGATATCTGGATCAAAGGCCTCTCCATCCAAAAAAGTTTTTATGAGGGTGAGCAAAGATCAGCAGAAAACACAATTTGCTGAGGTTCAACCCCAACCTCCTGCAGTTTGACACGTGAGGATGGCAGTGATGGTGGTCAGCTTTCCATGCTTCAGGCTCGGAGGTTTTGTGAGACATCTTGCTCCTATCCTTCATTCTTCCAGCAGGTTTCCATGTCCCATCATTCCTGTGATTCCCCTGGGGAATGAGATCCTCTGCCCACCATCTCCTGGCCCCATTCCTTGTGGCTGGACTCCTGCAGGCCACGGCCCTTGGTCTCGATGGGCAGGAAGCAGGAGGCCAGGGCAGCCAGCAGGCAGCAGCCACTGTAAACCAGCAGGGTCAGATAGACTGAAGATTCCAACATCACCTGCGGGAGAAAGGCAGGGAATGCAAAACAGCACCTCAGCATGGAAATAAACTGGAGGAGCAACAGAAGACACTGGTGGAACAACTGGAATTTTAATCGTCATATTGGGAATCGAGTTTAATTTGAAGTTTCTGGAAAGGAGGGAGATTTTATAGATCGTGCCAGGAAAATGGACAGTGGTTTAAGCTCTCAGAGGGGAGGATTAGACTGGATTTTAGGAAGGAATTCTTCCCTGTGAGGCTGGGAGGTCCTGGCACAGGTTGTCCAGAGAAGCTGTAGCTGCTCCATCCCTGGAAATGTCCAAGGACAGAGCTTGGAGCAACCTGGGATAGTGGAAGGAAAGCAGTTCTGCATCACCTTCATGGAACCATGGAATTGCAAAAGCTGGAAAAGACCTCCAGGATCATCAATCCAAGCTTCCTGTGTGTCCAGACTCAGAGGAGAAGGGATTTACCTGTGCAATGAATGGGGTTATGAGGGCTCCCACTCTGGCCATTCCACTGCACGTTCCCAGGCCCAAAGCACGTGTGGCTGTGGGATAAACCTGTGGGAAAAAAATCATCCCATCAATCCCAGTGGGAAGTTTTCCTTCTACTCCTAAATCAATGGGAATTAGTAAATGGTGCCACAGCACATTCTGTGAGACAATGACAATGGGATCTACAGCTCCAGTCTGGGGTAAGGTCCATTGGGAACAGGTCATCAAAATGACTTTCCCACCCTGTTCTCACTCCCCTTGAATATTCCCATCACCACAACCACCCCCTTACCTCAGGAGTGTAAACATAGGCAGCCTGAAATCCTCCAGAAATAAAAGCTCTTGCAATGAAGAGCAGCACAGTAAGAACATTTCTGTGAGGAGAAAGAGGAGAGCAGAGTTTGGGTTTCACTTGGATTTCACTTTTACTTCCCTCCCAAACTCTGGTGAGAAAACCCAACCCCAGCCTTAAATCCTCCTCCAGCTGAGCACGACCATCCCACAGCTTTTCAAACCAGTTCTCCCACCACAACCAAGAGAGGACAAGGAGAAATCCTTCACTCCAGCTGTTCCCTGTGCTGGACTCACCTTCCAACACAGAGAAAGAGCAGGAGGCTGCAGAAGGAGAAGACAAGGAAGGACAGGGCCATGGTTTTCTTGCGGCCGATGCGGTCGATGATCCACAGGGTCACCAACACACCTGAGGGAAGAGACCAGGAAACCCTTGGGAATCAAGAAAAGAGGGGCTGCAGCAGATTTAACACAGCCTGGGTGGTTTAGATTGGAAATTTTGGCTTCTCTTTCCAAACCTCTGCTGGCCCCAGGCAGGGCTGTGGGATGGATTGCTGCTGGTGCCATGTGGAAACAGCAATTCTGTGTCCCAGCTGCTCCACAAATGCACAAATCCCCACTCCCATCCAGGGATTACTGATGGGAATGCCTAAAACACCTGCTCATGGCTCACTGGAAGAAAAGAACTTCTGCTCAACTTCTGGCCATTGTTCCCTGCTGGATTTAAGGGCTCTTTAGAATGTGGTATTTTCTTTCTGTCCTGTTATTTAGCTGTTTCACCAAATTATTTCTCTCTTGATTTTTGATAGGAAATAGATCAAGCTCAGTAAATCTCATTATTAGGTCTTCCCTCTACTGCAATTTTCCCAGATCCTTTTGAAAGCTGATGCACAGCAGGAGTGGGGATTATTCCAGCATCAGTGTCGCCTCCAGAGGGACCCTGTCAATATTTCTCACTCCCACCTCAGTGTGTGTGAGGATCAAACCAGACCTTGCAGCCACAGCACCACTCCAAGCACCCACTCTTTTTTCCTGGGTATCCTTCCCAAAATTCCTGTTTGGCAGCACACTCCTCTTAGCAATGACTGTGCACATTTCTCAGTCATATTTGCAATTTATCATTCATTAAATGGCTTCTCCTTGAGCTTTTAGCCCTGAATGAGGATCCAGAGAGTGAAAACATCCTGATCCCTGTCTCTGGTGCTGTTTCAATCACATTAACACTGGGAGATCCCCTCCATCTGAAGGATCAATGGCTGTTTCACACTATTTTGCTTATCCTGTGCCAGACTGTGCATTGAAATTTGCTGGAATTGCCTGAAAATCCCAGGATCAGGACTGAGGCTGGACACAGGGATTTAAGGAGCAAGTTCTCCATGGATTCACTGTACCCATCATCCTTTGAAAATACTTCTGGAAAGTAATTTATGGATAGAAATTCCAGTGTTGCTGCCCCTTGGATTGAGGTTTTGCTCCTCCTGAAGTGTTGCTGGGTTGGAACACACAGAGGGGCCATTCCAGGGCAAGGACTGATTTTTTCTGGAGTGATCCCAGGGCAGGGAGAATCCACAGCTACAGCAAGGAGCTCTGAGTGCTGTGGGAAGCATCAGGCCAGAAATCCCAGTCCTATTGCAGCTTCCAGAGCTCATTCCCACACCCTAAACCATTCCCAGGAAAAACTGGAGCTTCCCATTGTCCTTACCAGGGAATTCTGAGAGGGTTGTCCAGAGCAGGTCAGTGTAATCTTCCTCTGTCAGGTACTCACAGGTCAGGCTGCACTTGGCTTTCACTTCCTGCCTTCTGCTGGATACTGCAGGGAGAAAAAAGCACAAATATTCAATATATTTTAAGCAAACTCTTCCCTGTTTACCCTTCCTGCTGGGTCTCTCATTTTTACTGCTGAAATTTAAGAAGGGATGGGCTGGAAGGACTGGGATGGATTCACTGCACCCACCATCCTTTGAAATACTCCTGGGAAGTTGTTCAGGGATAGAAATTCAAGTGATTCTGCCCCTTGGATTTAATTGTTGCTCCTCTTCTGAATGCCTGGGATGGAATTCAGAGTCAGAGGGGCATTGAAGAGCAATGCTGGGTGATTTTGCCTGAAAACACTGAACATTTATAATATTTTCTGTGACAGGATGTCTCAGCTCAGTGAAAATTCCACCTCCTTATCAGCTGTACAGCCAGAATTATTTTCCAGCCCAGGGCTCAGGACAGAATTAACTCCAATAATTCAGTTTCTCCTACCACAAATTGGGATCTCAACACTTCCTACTCTCTGAGAATACTGAAAAACCCCATGTCCTTATAAAAACAAGGGTTTTTTAGGGCTGCATCCTCCTCTGGGGAGGCAAATCGGTGTCAGAACTCTCAGAGCTCATCACTGCTGCTCAACCTTGGAATCTGGGGCTGCTCCAACACTCCTCATCCACCTTTTATCATTTCCCAACTTCCAGACAGTTTTCCCTAATTACAAATGTCCCGAATGCAATCGTTCCTCCCCTGGGGAATCAAACTGTTCAAGCCTCTTCTTAACTCAGTCAAAGCACCTTCTTTTTCCCCCCCAAAAATTCTGCAACACAAAGGATGCTGATTTCCCATCATTATCTTTTTTCTCAGCAGGTTTTCCCATCTTGAGAACCCAGGAGCTCCACAGCAGCAGTTTCTTTCTCTCAGAACTAATTAGACCTGTCAAATTTGCAAATTTCTATTTATTTAATCACTTTTTTTATTAAGAGGAACAGATAACAGGTCTGCCTTGAAGGTCGTCTTGCTGTTTGACATTTTGGGCTCAAAACCACTTCAAGACCTCTCTGCACAATGAGGAAATATTTAAAATAAACTTAAAACTCAGCCATGTTCCTTTTCCAAACCACCAGCAGAAGGTGATCTAATCAAAGATATTCCAGCAGTTTTAACAGGACATATTTAAAAAGAAAAGATGGAGCAATACTCACTGCTGCAAACATCTCCTGCTTGGAAGAGCTCTGTAGTTAATAAAACTAACCCATAATATGAAAAAGCATTGGAAAACCTGCAAGGAAGCAAATGAGAGAGGAAGTTTCAGCTGGTCCAATTTAAAGGAAACACCACCAATTCAAAATCCTACCTCAAAGCTATTTCAGCATTCAGAAAATTAAAGGGCAATTTGATTTGGAATGCTTGGATGGTTGAATAAATTACAAATCAATACAGGTTGGGGTTTTTTTGGTTTGGTTGGTGTTTTTCTGAGGAGGAAGTTGCTGTATTGAGTAAAATCCCTTCAGTAAAACCCATTTAGAGCTGTGCTGGCACTGAACCTTCAGGTTTTTTCTTACCAAATAAACCAGAGCAACAACGTGGTCCAGCGGAAATGGGGAGTGAAAAGATCCCTCATTTTGCCTCTGTCCTCCTGTTGGGAACAAGCAGAAGTTGGGTGATGAGGGACAGCTAAAGTGCCAAATTTCATTTTGTTTCATGCATTCAGATCCAGGAATTCTGACCTGAGCTCTTCAACAATCTCGAGGTTTGGTTTTCTTTAATGACAGTGAGGTTAAAGAACATCAAATGCCCATTTAACATTAAAATGTACATTTTAAAGCTGCTTTTCACTCCCAAATGAGAAATAAACTCTTCCTCAGTAAAAAAAGAGGCCTAAATGATCAAACCTCTTATTTTTTTTGCCTAGCTGAGCCATTAAAATTGACAACACATTGATGATTTGCTCACAAACCCCCTCAGTTTCACTGTTCTGTACATACCTGCCTGGACACCACCAGTTTTCCCAGGGGCATTGGAGCTCCATTTTCTGTGGCAATCCTCTTCAAGGTGGCCAGAGCCTTCTCCTGGTTCCCAGATAAAACATCATACCTGGCACTTTCTGGCAGCCACTAAGGGAGCAGAGCAGGTCACACACACAGGAGGGAGTCACAACCAGCAATAAACAAATCTGGGATTTTCCTTGGGGGAATCTCAGTGACTCCAGCAGATTCTCACATAACAAAGGATTACACAACTAAGCTGGAAGAATTCCAAGGAAGAATTTCAAGGATCATCTCATCAGGCTTTAAAAACTGCAATTCCCCACTTCCCCCATCACTCAGAACCCTTTCCCTTCCATTCCTTTGGGTTTATCCCTGAGAGCTGTTGGGAATTTTTGCAGGTTTTTTACATTATCCCTTCTGTGCAGGAATGGCAAAGCATCCAGAGCAGATAACAAGATGCTCCTGGCACTCCAAAATTTATGGAATTTTTGGAATAAAATGGAACAAAATTTATGGGTTTAGACTCCTTTTAATTTAGAACAAGCCTGTGATCACCTGGATAATTGCAGGTATTCCTGAAAAGCTAAGGAATAAAAAAGGCTGCTAAACCACCTGACAAGGACATTTATCTTTGAGAAGACTGAGTGATTGGCAAAGATCTCACCTAATAAATAATAAAATATATCACTGAAGCTCAGGTTTAACTAATTTTAGAATCTGGCCTGCACTCTGCAGATTCTATCCCTGATTTGGGAGGATTCTTAAGTGGAAATTGATTCTAGAAGTGACAAAATCTAAGAAGGTTTAGGGAAATAGCAACAGCTTTTGATAAAATGTTAGAACAAAGTAATTAAACTGGAGAGGATTCCAGGTCTGATTTCACCAAATTCCAGCCCTGCAGAAATTACAGTCACATTAACACAACTCTCCATGGAATGTTTTTCCCAGCGCCCTGTTGAAACTGCATTTTCTGATCATTATTTCAGTTATTTCACAGAAGACACCACCAGAGAGCTCAAAACTGCCCTGATTCCCCTCAGCTGGGTCCCAGAATGGGGTGGAGGGATGGGAATTGCAGGAATTCACATGAATCCATGAGGAATACCTACAAAACAAAGGCCAGCAAAGAGCAGGAGTGGGAGGGCAGAGAGGATGAGGAGCCAGCGCCAACCGAGCGTGGGCATCACCACCACTGCCAGGAGCACTTCAAACACTGTCCCAAGGGCCCAGAACACCTGCAAGAGGGAAAAACAACAAAAAAATGAGGAATGGAATGTCCCCAAGGCCTCTTATTTGGCATATTCCAGGCTGTGCTCACCAGGGATGGCTGGAGAGAGAAATTCCAGGGGTGAAAATTCTGCCTTAAAATATTCCAAGGGCAAAATTCTGCCCTGAGTGACTTTGATAGGTTTGGGTGAAGATGTGGAGGTGAATTTAGCACTGAATTTGTGGAGCTGTCAGCTCTCCAAATCCATCACTGAGATGGATTTCACCACAGAATCATGGACACCCAATGCCCCTCTTGTGCTCGCTCTGCAGCACTGGGTGCAAAATAATTTGGAAAAAGGAAAATTCAACACCAAGAGCGGAGTGTGACAGGAAAAGTTTCTGCTGCTTTTGGAGCTGGGCTGGTTCCAGAGCTCAGGAGCTCCACCAAGATGGACAGGCCAGGCCTGGCTGCAGCTCTGAGGGCATTTCCAGGCAGGAGGATGGAAGGGATGTGACCACCAGAGGATTTGTCCCCTGAGGATCAGAATGCACCCACTCACCTCTATTAATAAAATGCACTTTGCTCTGGCTTTCATTGGAAGGAACTCAGCATATAAAGTTACCCTAAAAAGAGAGAACAGGGAGGAAAATGTCAGCACAGAGAGGGAAATGCCACAGGTTCAAACATCCCTTTTGCCTTTTAATAAAGCTGCCAAACTCAGAGCAGCAACTCAAAGCTCTCCCTGTCCCCAGAGCCAGCCAGGCTGTGACACTGGGTCACACCCCCCTTCCACCCCAGAACAAACCCTGCAAGAGAGGACACAGTTTGCTTTTTTTGTGTGGTTTTGTGGCCCCATGGTCAGTTAAATGCAGATTTTGATGCTCATGTTTGCAAAGTCCATTGGAAATACAATTTTATTGGGTATTTTCAGTGTGGTCCATCAGAATTCAACACAAACTCTTGCTGGATAAAGAATTTCTTCAGGGCTTTACAACTGGCTCAGAGAATTCCCATCCATCTCCTGTGCCAGGGTTCAATTCTCCAAGAGGGGAATTATTTCATGTCACTGATAGAAAATAATTTGCATTCTTTTATTGTGGCATTCAAAGAGCAACCACTGAGGCTTTGTTTCATGCCTGTGCCAAGGAGTGATGGCAAAGCTTCTCCAGGAGGAATTCCTGAGCAGGAATTCCAGTCCAGGCTCTGTCATCTCTTTCAAACTGGAAAGGTTTGGCTTTGCTCTGTTTGCATTCCATTGGCTCAGTCTGTTCCTGCTTCCTTTGAGGTTTGGGACAAAATTCCTACAAACTTCAAGAGTGGATTGATCTCTCAGGAGCTGCCCAAGCAGGAAGTTTCACACAATATTTCATTCAAGCAGAGATTCAGAGAACTCAAATCACGTCTTAAAGTGTAGCTCAGGTCCCTCTGCAGTGCAGAGAAAACAGGAGCTGGTGAATGACCCCAGCAAAAGAAGGACATGGAATTGTTGGAGCCAGTCCAGAGGAGGAAATGACTCTCACTCCATGGAGATCCAGGCAAAAATCACACCAAAATCACTGCAAAATCCCACAGCTTAAAGATATTAGAAAGGAGCTACTTTTCCTGCTTCATCCATGTTTACCCCTCTGTCAAATAAACCCTTTTACAGTCAGAACAGGAAACAGACCGAGGGAGGATGGGATCCACCTGGAGATCTGTAACTGCCTCTGGATTTTCTCTCATGAAGCCACAGAACCTCAGTGAGCCCAGTCCAGTGGCCCTGGCTGGGATGCACCTGCAGTTCTGGGTTTTTATCTGGGAGTAGGAATCTGTGAGTCATCAATGCAAGCCAGGCTTTCCTGCTCCAAAACAGCACCTCCAGAAGGCAAAAAAATCAATTCTTGGTAAGGATAAAAGTCTACAGAGAGAGAAGAGAGAATGGCTGAACCCTTCTCTTTACATTTATAATTAAAAGCCTTGAGCAGGGTTATTTATTGCAGGTGGAAAATTTATGGATCCCTCTCTTCAGTGAAAGGAAGCACACAATGATAAGAGAAATATCCTGGCACTTCCTTTTCCTTCTGAGCCATCTCCAGTGCTCAGGTCTGGGCTGTGTGGGTTTGAAATTCCAGCTCAGGGTGAGATGGGGAATTCAGGCTCTGACTGAGCAACAATCTGGGGTTTTACAGTCAGAATCAGGGCTCAGCTCTGCCTCTAAATCCTGCTTTGTTCAAGGCATGACCTGCCCTGCAACAAGACCCAAGCTTTGGAGTGGCTGAACAGAAACAAAACTTCAGTCCTACAGGAGAATCTCATAAGAAAGAAAGAGAAATGAGGGAGTTTGGAGTTGTGAGTATTTACTTACGACTGAGGCACTCCTCCAATGCCAAAGCCCACCAGGCCCCTCAGCACCAGGATCCAGCTGTAAATGGGAGCAAATCCACTGAGGATCCCATAGTAGAGTGTCCACAGCACGCTGATCTTCAGGCCCTGTGTTCAGCAAGAGTTAAAAATCACTGTAACACAAATTAATTTCTTTAAAATAAAGTGTAAAACAGAGCTTCAGATGCCTTCTGTTTCATAGGGGCTCAGTTCTGGATGTGCTTAGTGCTGCTTTGTATACATGGACATTTGGGATTGTGGAATCCTGGAATGGTTTGGGATTGGAAGGGGCCTTAAAGCTCGTCCCATTCCAGGTGTAGGAACACCTTCCACTATCACAGAGTGCTCCAACCTGGCCTCAAACACTTCCAGGGAGCCACAGCTTCTCTGGGCCAGCTGCACTGAAATATCCATGCTGCAGAAACATTGGGATAGATCCCAGCAGGAGCTGCAGACTTACTGTTTTCCTCCCATACTGGTCTGAAATGTTTCCCCAGAGGGTGGAGCTGGACATCATTCCCACAAACACCACCTGTGGAACAACAGGAAAAAAAAAAATCTTTCCCTTAACAAGTGAAAATTCCAGTGTGGCAAACACAGAACACAAATTTCCAATGAAACCAGAACATTTCAGCCCAAAACAGAGTGAGATGTGCAGGAGGTCAGATAATGGGTTGGGAGGGAAAGGACCTTAAAGATCATCCAGTTCTCTCTGGGTTGGAGCAGGGAAGCAACAAGGTCCCTCCTCAATCAGCTTTGCATTAAAAAAACCCATGAGTGACAGCCCAGACAAACCCAGTTTGGCCTGGACTGGGAACACTGGTATTGTCCCTTTGTGAGTCCAGCCCTGGAAGAGACAGAGATCTCCAGTTCCAGGGAAAATAATCCTGAATAAATGCTCAGGAGCTGTTGGTTGAGATCTGCAGGATCTCATTGAGGATTCTCTCCTCAAGTCTCCTACCACCATCCTCAGCAGCTTCCAGGTTTGAATGGAGATAAAATTACACCTTAAAAGTTTACAAAAGTCTGAAGTGTGAAAGAAAATACCCAGAGGTGACACTCGTGTGCTGCACTCAGGGATGGACATTCATGGGATTCAAGGACACCATTTCTATCTGCTGAGCATTTGAAGGATTTTACACAAACAAAGGGCATTAAAAACTAAAGGAGAGAGAAATTCAAGGGGAAAAATGCCTGCATTCAGCAGTGGCCTGTGCTCAGAGAAGGGTTTCCAAATTTGTTTTTTTATCCCTAAAGGCACTGCAGGATTCCAACATCACAGCACCATCCTTGGAGGTGGTGTTGTAAGATCTCTGCTTCCAAAGATCACTGGATAATCCCAGAATTATTTAGGCTGGAAAAGATTTCTGATGTCATTGAATCCAACCTAAAAAATCAACTGTTTCTTCTCTCTCAGAGTTCAGCATGTCAGAGAGCTTAGATGTGGGGAGAGAGAAAGATTTGCATGCAAGATACTCAAAATTTACCAATTTTTAAAAAATTAATCAAATGGTTTGAATTTTAGGATAAATCTGAGTGAATCCATAGGTTTTCCTGGAAATTATATGAAACTTTAAGCCTGAAACCTGCAAACTGCCCTCAGTTCTCACTGAATTTCATTACATCAATCTTTAAAAAAACTTCTATAAATCTTTTTTTAAAAACCTCCCATAAACTTCCAAGCTGAAGGCAACCTGCAAAGGCCACGAGGAGATTTAATTTTGAGGGGTACAAAGCAAAATGTCTGGATAACAATGATGGCAAAAGCTCAGGGAAGACAGGAGCTGTCAGGTATTTTTCCTACCGAGGTGAGCAATGCAACCTGCCAGCTGGGTAAGCGCCACTCACAGTGCAGCTGAGGAGCAAGGATACTTAAAATCATCATTTCCATGGCATCTGCCATCTGCAGGGGGAAAAGAAAGCAAAAATCAACAAGTGCCTGCAAGTCAGGTGGATTTAGGAGTCAATATTAGGCCTTGGTGACATTTCCGTGATGTTCCCACCTCGTGGTTGAAGAAAATGTTGAATATTTAATATTTAAAGTCATTTCTGATTGTCAGCACTTTTAGTAACTCTGGCAGAGAGGATTTAAAGAGGTGAATGCAAATGTTTTGAGGAGGTTTGGCTGGTCAGTGACACAGTTCAGTCACTTCCATAGTGGAAATTCCAGATTTCAGCTTCTTCCCACATGGATTCAGTCAGGAGTGTTTAATATCTTGTGATTATTCCCTTAAACACTCCTGGATTTGCATTGATCACCCTGAAACCAAATTCCACAGGTGATTTAGGATCTAACCATGGCACATTCCAGCTTTTTACATGGATAAAAGCCAGTAAATACAGCTCCAGGTATCAGGATCCTGAAATGCACCACAGGAGGTGGAACAGAGCTTGAGAGAGAGCAGAAAAATGCAAACCAAGATTTTTTAATTGTTGATATCAAAGTTAAAAGGGGAAGTGCTGGGTTGCTGCTCCTCTGAAACTGAGATTACAGCAATCCTGACTGATACAGACAACTGAGGTGGCAGCTGATGGGAGGAATGTGGCAAAATCACTGCAGGAGCAGCCTGGAACCTCTTTCATTTGAAACCAACCTGAAGTGAAGAATTTAAGTAATTTTCCAAACCCTGATTTCTAAGAACTTCAGAGACAAATCCATCATTACCCTCACAACAAGGCTGAGTGCTGCTGTTGGTTTAGAATTCCCAGTGAAATTCTTGCTTTATTGTAAATTTATTTGAAAATTATTTGAAATCCCTGAGGTTCTCTAAGTGATGATCAGGAATTGGTCCTGATCCCAATTACTTGCCCATGCCAATCCAGTAATGACAGAGAGCTTCCACTGGAACTTCCCAAATCCAATGGCTTCCACTGCATCCTCCACCATGAAAGTATCTGCAAAGAAAACAATTCCAGTGGATTCCTTCCTGAGGAAAACCAGCCCTTGAGAGAGAATTTTCTGGTTTAATTACTAATTAATTGGGCTAATCTGCTGAGATCTCAAATCTATACCAGAGCTACTTAGTGGTAATTATACAATTCCTACTCAGGAAAATCTCTGTGGCCAAAATAATTGGAATTATTCCTAGAATATTTTAATCACATGGAGGTAAATCAGTGCAGCACCCACAAATCCAGCCCATGTTCAGCCTCTTCCTCCTGCAGCCACTGAAATGGAGTTTTCTGTGGGGAGAAATTGCTCTGCCCCTATTCCACAGCACTGCTGGAAGCTGCAGGGAATATTTCAGTGCAACTTCTCATTATTTAAATTAAGAATTTCTCCAAAACACACAAATCTTTAACCCTGTTTAAAAATGCTGCTGGTTGTTTCCCATGACATCTTTAGTTTGTTCCAGCTGAAGGTGCTCAAAGATGTCTCAAATTTGAGTTGTCTCAAATTCCTTTGCTCAAATGCAAAAAGAAATAACCAAGACAAGCACATTTTGATATTTGAGTTGTTTAAATCAATTGAAGTCTCACAGTTCTCACATTTGTATCAGCTTGGAAAGGACATTCCTCAGGAAAAGCTTTGGCTCAGAGCTGTGAGATCCCCACAACAACACAAACCAGGAGGAAACCAAACAAAATCCAAGGGATAAAGCACAAAAACAAGATTAACACCAAATTTTCTCACTGCGCTAAGACAAACTCAAATTTCTCCTCTCTCCTAAAGCAATGAGAGAGCAGAAATTTCTCCTCTCTCCTTCCAGGCAGGAAGAGAAGCTGAGATGGACATTCCTGATGTCCTCCAGGAAAAGAGGAGCCAGGAACTCTGCAGATTCATCTCAGCCTTGAAGGAGAGCCAGGTGTGAGCAGCTCCTGAGGGAGCTCAGAATTCCAATTCCAGTGTGGCAGCTGCATCCACAACTCCTGACAGGAGCATCCAGCACTGGGGACACAAAAAGGAGCACAGAGAGCTCCCCACAGGGAATGGGCTGATCAAACCACCATTTTAATGTCTAACAAAATTTCCCAGAGTTATTATTTATATCTGAGCATCCTTAACTTCTCCAAACCTCCTGCACCCAGCCTGACTGGGATGAAGAGACCCCACAAGGCTCTCCGAGCAGGAAAACTAGCCTTGCTCACCATGGATGGGGTTGGAAAATTCCAAACCTCCTGCACCCAACCTGGCTGGGATGAACAGATCCCACAAAGTTATCCTTGCAGGAAAACGAGCCCTGCTCATAATGGGTGGGGTTGGAAAATTCCAAACCTTCTGTACCCAACCTGACTGAGATGAAGAGATCCTACAAGGCTCTCCCTGCAGAAAACGAGCCCTGCTCACCATGGGTGGGGTTGGAAAATTCCAAACCCCCAGCACCAAACTTGACTGGGATGAAGAGATCCCACAAGGCTCTCCCTGCAGGAAAACAAGCCCAGCTCACCATGGATGGAGTTGGAAAATTCCAAACCTTCTGTACCCAACCTGACTGGGATGAACAGATCCCACAAGGTTTTTCCTGCTGGAAAACGAGCCCTGCTCACCGTGGGTGGGGTTGGGAAATTCAAAATCCCCTGTATCCAACTTGATTGAAATAAAGAGATCCCACAAGGCTCTCCCAGCAGGAAAATGAGCCCTGCTCACAATGGATGGGGCTAGAAAATTCCAAACCTCCCGCACCCAGCCTGACTGAGATGAAGAGATCCCTCAAGACTCTCCCAGGAGGAAAACTAGCCTTGCTCACCATGGATGGAGTTGGAAAATTCCAAACACCCTGTACCCAGCCTGACTGGCATGAAGAGATCCCACAAAGTTCTCCTTGCAGGAAAACGAGCCCTGCTCACCATGGATGGGGTTGGAAAATTCCAAACCTCCCGCACCCAGCCTGACTGAGATGAAGAGATCCCTCAAGACTCTCCCAGGAGGAAAACTAGCCTTGCTCACCATGGATGGGGTTGGAAAATTCCAAACCTCCCGCACCCAACCTGACTGAGATGAAGAGATCCTACAAGGCTCTCCCTGCAGAAAACGAGCCCTGCTCACCATGGATGGGGTTGGAAAATTCCAAACCTCCTGCACCCAGCCTGATTGAAACAAAGAGATCCCACAAGGCTTTTCCAGCAGGAAAACAAGCCCTGCCCACCATCAACGGAGTTGGCAAATTCCAAACCTCCTGTACCCAGCCTGACTGGGTTCAAGAGATTCTACAAGGCTCTCCCTGCAGGAAAACGAGCCCTGCTCACCATGGGTGGGGTTGGAAAATTCCAAACCTCCTGTACCCAACCTGACTGGGATGAAGAGATCGCACAGGGCTTTCCCGGCAGGAAAACGAGCCCTGCTCACCATGGATGGGGTAGGAAAATTCCAAACCTCCTGCACCCAGCCTGATTGGAATAAAGAGATCCCACAAGGCTCTCCCAGCAGGAAAACGAGCCCTGCTCACCATCCGTGGGGTTGGCGAATTCCTTGGGCACCGCAGCTCCATCCTCCAGCTCCACGGGCTCCAGCTCCGTCCTCACCCCCTCGATCTGCACCTCGTGCTCTCCCGAAATTCCATCCTCCTCCTCCGACCTCGAGCTCTCCCCCGTGCGGCGGAACTTCACCACCCTGGAAGCACAAAAAAGCGGGATGGATCCTTCCAGGAGGATTGAAACTCATTTTTCATCAATGTTTCTCCTCATTCCCTGTCTCCACTCTCCACTGGGATTTGGCTTTGGGTCTGGTTTGAGGAGTCCTACCCTGGGATGGGTACAGAGGTTGTTATTGTGCTATCCACAAAGTTATAAAACCACAGAGGTCATAAAAATATGATGGAATGATGCATATTTAATGAGATCCATGCTTGGTGGGCCTGGGTTTAATTGGAATTAAGCATTGCTGTGTCATTGAATTTCAGGGGTTTTCAGGCAGGAAGAGCCCAAATTCCATTTCCTGAGTTGTTTTTGTGATTAGAAACTCCAGAAATGCACCAGAATTTGAAATATAATTTAGTGAAATACAATTGAGCTGAATGGATGGGGTTTTTTTTTCCAGCAGGATGATGACTCTGCTTGCATCTTAAACAGAATAATTTAATATCATGTCTTTAATGAAATATCTGTATTTTAAGACCAGAATTTGCTAAATTGACACAGCTTTGATGTTTTGGTCAGGGGGATTTTCTCCCTTCCCACAGAGAAGGTTCTTTTCTGATTTATGAAGTTTTCTGTGGCCAAAGATTTGGGAACAGATCCTCAAAGTTCCTTCACTTTATCCAACACAGCAGAACTTTTTCTCTTTGGAAAGTGAAAATCCCTTGGATTAAAGTGAAATAGTTTTGGAAATAAATTAAATTATCCCAGAATCAGAGGGAGGGACCGTAAAGATCATCCCTGCTTTGGAGGTGATGGATCCTACAAAATCTGAAATCACAAATCCAGATTGCCACATTCCTCAGCACAGAAAATAAAAATGTAGGTGCATAATTTAGGGATAGATGAAAAAAACTGATACAAACAAAGGAAAAAAATCCACAGGGATCATTTCTGTTCCATATTTGCCAAATTTTTCACATCTGGGACATCTCAGGGAGCTGCTGCATTTATTTGCAGAATCTCACAGCACCAAAACAGCTGCACTGGAAGGTACTTTGGGATGTATTCCCAGGTTTTGGGCTTAAAAATGGGAGAAAAAGCTTGATAAAATAATAACCTCTGATAAAATAGCCTCAGATTCTTTTCCCTGACAAGCTGCATCCTAAGCAAGGGCTGGAAAAGAGCTGGAGCTCCTGTCCAAGTTAGCAGGAATGTTTTGGGACAGGGTGCTCTGTCATTGACACGAGCTCATGAATATTTAACAGCAACTTGAATCGTTCCTTCCCTGCCTGGCAGAGCCCATGATTTATAAATAGGAAATATGTTGCAAAACACCTGAGAACGGAGCATTTGGAAAAAGCAGGTTGGTTTGAAAGGAAGGAATTGAGGGGGAAGGAATTCCTGGGGTTAAAGGCACCAAAGGTTTTATCAGGTTTGGGGTTGGGTTTTTGCCTTTTTTTTTTATTTTATTTTTTTTTTTTTGCACAGATCCAGCAACCACATCCCAAAAATCAGCATTTTCCTCGTGCAGCTTTCCAGAAATCCCAATCCCAAGGGAGATTTTGGGGTCCCCCCCCACCCCACCTTGACAGAGCAGGTTCTGCTCTGCAATTCCTCCCTGGCGAGAAGGAGGAGGAGGAGGATGGCGAGGAAGCACAACGTTATTTACAGCCAAACCCCGCTGCAAAGGCGATCCCGACGTTTCCTTTCCTAAAACCCCCACGATTTTATCCCAACCCTTGGTGATGCAAAATCCCCACGATTTTATCCCGTGCCATTTTTTTTTTTGATGGTGGTAAAAACCACGCCGAGAAAAAAAAAAAAAAACAAAACAAAAAACCCCAAAAAATAAGCAAACAAAAAAAAAAAAAAAAAGAGAAAATCAAGCGAGACGAGTGAATTTATGTAACAAACAGCTCCTGCATCCCTCGGGATGCTCCACCCGGCGGCAAAATGGCCTTGCCCGCCGCGCTGTGAGCGGCTCCCCGGCGGCACCGGCCGCTCCCCGGCGGGATCCCCGCGGCCGGAGGGGCCGGAGCTACTCACGGTACCGGAGCTACTCACGGCAGCTGCTTCAGCTGGAACAAATCCTCCTCCATGGCCGGGCGGCGGCTGCGCTCATCGCTCCCGCATGGCGGGCTCGGGCTGCGGGATGGAGCGCCGGGAAGGGCTGCAAGGGCTGGACAGCTCCGCAGGAACCGCCGCGCCGGGGCTCGGCTTAGCCGGGCTCAGCCTGGCTCGGCACGGCTCGGTTTGGCACGGCACGGCTCAGCTCGGCATGGTTTGGCTCGGCTCGGCTCAGCTCGGTTTAACTCAGCTCAGTTTGGCTCGGTTTAGCTCAGTTTGGCTCGGTTTAGCTCAGTTTGGCTCGGTTTAGCTCAGCGTGGCTCGGTTTAGCTCAGCTCGGCTCGGTTCCCGCCCTGGCCATGGCTGGGCCTGGCTCAGCTCAGCTCAGCTCAGCTCAGCACAGCTCGGCTCGGCCCGCAGCGTTTGCCTGAGCTCGGTTTGGCTCAGCCCGGCTCAGCCGCGGTTCCCCCATGGCCCCAGCGGGGCCGGACAGGGTAAAGCCCCGAGCCCGGGCGCTGCCAGCGCTGCCCCGGGCCGTGTTCCCGGGGGTCACATCCAGCGACACCGGGAACCCCCGGGCAGCACAACCTTTCCGGGAGGGTTTGCCCTCAATATCCCAACCAGAGCGCCACGGGAGCGGCGGGACTGCGGTATTGTCCCGCTGTTCTCCCGGGACACCCCGTGAGGGCCGGGCAGCGTGGGGATTCAGCTCGTCACACCGGGACCGGCCTGAGCAGCACAGGCTGCCCGCCACAGCCGCTGTCACACCGGCTGTGAACGGGCCCGTTTCCCCCGCTCCGGGCCGCCCACAGCGCTCCGGGCCCGCCCCCGGTGCCACCCCCGGTCCCGCCCGCCGCCATGGCCGGTCCCCGCCATCACCGGCCCCCCCCGCGCCACTTCCGGCACCGCCGCCCGGCCGGTCCGCGCGCCGCTGCCGTCCCCCCGGCTCCGCCCGGCCGCGCGCCCGCGTTCCGGCGCGGCCATGCTGGCGGAGGGGCCGGTGCGGCGGCTGCTGCGGGCGGGGGAGGGGGCCAGGTCCGAGGGGAGGGGGCGGCTGCACCCGGAGCGGGTCGGGACGGAACGGGAAGGGGCTCGGAATGAGCCGGGAGGGAGCCGGGTCCGTGGGGAGGGCGGGCGGCGGGAGCTCGGGTTGATCGGTGCAAACCCTCGGCCGAGCGCCTCCTTTCTTCCCTCTCCTCCTTCATTTCCCTTTCCCCCTTCATTTCTCCCTTTCCCTTTCCTTCTTCCCTTCTCCCCTTCCCTTTCCCTGCTCCATTTCCCCTTTCCCATATCCGCATTCTCTTTGCGCTCCGGTTACCGGGGCAGGCCCGGGGGGCTGAGGGCTCTCGGGGTTCCCGCAGCTCCTGACCCTATTCCCGTTTTTCCCGTATCCCCTGACCCTATTCCCGTTATTCCCGCAGCTCCTGACCCTATTCCCGTTTTTCCCGAGGCAGGCACCGAGCCATGCGGAGCTGGGGGGTGCTCGGGGGCGCGGCGGCGGCGCTGGCGGCCGGGATTTATGTCCTGTGGGGCCCCATCAGCGGCAGGAAACGGCGGCGGAGAGGTACCGGGGGGGGGTACCGGTACCGGGGGGGGGGGTACCGGTACCGGGGGGCCTGCGGGTACCGTTACTGGGGGAACTGGGGGTAACCGGTACCGGGGGGGCTGAGGGTACCGGTACCGGGGGGGCTGCCGCTACCGGGGGGCTTGGGGTGCCGGTACCGGGGGGCCTGCGGGTACCGGGAGGGGCTGGGGGTGCCGGTACCGGGAACAGCCCCGGTACGGGATTGATCCCGTTTTTCCAGCTGGCTTAGTGGGATTTTAGGAAGGAATTCCATCCGGTGCTGTGCGACCCCCGAGGAAGGGAATGTTTGGTATCTGAGTGTATTGATTCAGAATGCTGAATAACTGTTTTGTTAAACGAAATTCTATTACATTAACTAATTAATTATATATTAATGAACACGTTGTTGTTATTATTAATTTTCTATATTATATAATATATATTATATAATAATTTTATGTATTAATTATACTAATATATAATACCACCATATATTAACTATATATACACCATATATTCATTATATATACACCATATTAATTATACACATATTACACATATACACCATATTAATTATATATACACATTATATATATTAATTATATTAATATATAATACTACCATATATTACTTAATATATAATACCACCATATATTAGTTATACGCATATTGCACATATACACCATATTGTATGCATATACACCATATATTTATGATACATATTATAATATATATTAATTATATATATTAATTAATATATAATACCACCATATATTAATTATATATACTCCATATTAATTATACACATATTACACATATACACCGTATTAATTATATGTACACATTTTATATATTAATTATATTAATGCACAATACCACCACATATTAATTATATATACCATATTAATTATACACATACTACACATATACACCGTGTTAATTATATGTACACATTTTATATATTAATTATATTAATATATAATACCACTACATATTTATTGTACACATATTACACATATACAGCATATTAATTATATATACACATGTTATATATTAATTATATTAATATATAATACCATCATATATTAATTATATATGCACCATATTAATTATACACATACTACACATATACACAATATTAATTATATATACACCATATATTAATTATAGTATATATATTAATGATTTATTAATTAATATATAATACCACCATATATTAGTTATGTAGACACCATATATTAATTATATATACATCATATTAATTATATATATATTAATTAATATATAATGCCACCATATATTAGCTATGTAGACACCATATATTAATTATATATACATCATATTAATTATACACATATTACACATATACAGCATATTATACACATATACACCATATTAATTATATATACACCATATTAATTATATAGATACTGGAAAAAATTGTGAAATTTTTGAAAGATGATAAAAAATGAACTGAAACACCACAAATTGAAAACGGAACTAACTGAAATAAATTTTTCTGTAATTACGCAGCATTCCTACTGAAAACCAGGATGTTTGCCCTTGGATTTCGTGGTGGAAACTCTTGCAATTCTCTTTGCAGGGCTTGTTCCAGGCCTGCTGAACCTGGGCAACACGTGTTTCATGAATTCCCTGCTGCAGGGCCTGTCCTCCTGCCCCTCGTTCATCAGGTGGCTGGAGGAGTTCACAGCCCAGTACAGGACGGAGCAGGAGCAGCCCCAGGAGCAGCCCCAGCACCTCTCAGTGACTCTGCTGCAGCTCCTCAGAGGTACTGGGACACTTCCTCTTGTGGCAAACCAAGGGTTAAATGTTTAAGGAGAACATTTGTCATTTTTAGGCTCTTTTCCCAAAGAAAGGAGCTCGTGGGGTTTGTATTCCGTGTTTTATTTTCCCTCTCTAATTTTCAGGTTAATTGAAATGCCTTGGGCAAAGCTCAGGCACCTTTCACAGAAGGGTTGAATTCCACAGGGTTCAAGAAATTTAGAATTCTATTAAAAATTGCTAGCAAATAATTTAAGCTTTTTTGTTTTCCCCAAGCTTACTATTTTTCCAAAAACCTGGAACTATTCAACATCACTTTGCAAGGTTTTGGATATTAAAAATTAAAATAAGATATTATTCTAAAAAATAAATCATAAAATATTATTATAAAAGATAAAACATAAAATATTATATAAATATGAAATAGTATTATAAAATAAATAATATACTTTTATATAATAACTTCATATAAGAAATAAATTCTATCAATAGATGAATTAGTAAAATAAATAAACAAGTTATATAAGTAAATTTATGTGTATTAATTATATATATACTTATTATTTATATTAATACCTGTTAATATAATAGGTATTATATAACATACAAAATATTATAAAATATAAACTATAAAAGATTAAATATAAGTTATCATAAAAGAAATAATATAATTCTATATAACAAATTTATGTAATAAATTATAGATATAAATTGATAAATAAACTTATAAATGATATTATAAATATATAAATTTAGAATATAATTTTAAATATATATTATTTATATATAATATATAAATATATATTCAATTATAAATTTAAAATATAAATTTATATTATATACATAAATTCATATAACAGGTATTATATGACATACAAAATATTATTATAAAATATACAATATTATGTAAGTACAATTTTTTCTTATTAAAAAATAATATTATTTTATATAATAAATTTATATAATGAGCACATTATATTAATGAATAGATAAATAAACTAATAAATAACTGTATAAATAAATTTATGTAATACAAATTATGTAAAATACAAAATATTATTGTAAAATATTTAAGATTTTAAGCTCAAGGTGATTAATTTTTGGTCTAAATTAACCTCTGAAACCCTCAAGCGACCCCCTGGCTTCCCTCACATAAAGGAAATTTCTGCCTTGGGATGTTCCTGTGCAAGTGGTGTGAGGCTGGTGGTGCTCTAACCCCACAAAACACTGATTTTTCCCCATTTTTGGCTCCTCCTGACACTCCTGCCTTCCCCTCCCCAGCTCTGTCGTGCCAGGAGGTGCCAGAGGACGATGTCCTGGATGCCAGCTGCCTGCTGGAGGTGCTCAGGATGAACAGGTGGCAGATCTCCTCCTTTGAGGAGCAGGTGAGTGCAGCAAGCTGGGAAAACCCCCAGGGCTGGGGCTCTCAGAGCTGGATCCTGCTCCAAAAACTGATGGGAAACTTCACAGCTTGGGAATGGGGCTCTCAGTGGGCTGGGAATTCCTCAGGGAATTCCAAACCTTGTCCTTACCAACAGGACCAGGAATATTAAAGCACAGCAGATCCCTGATTTCCCTCTGGATAATGGATCTCTTCCCATCTTTTCAGTAATCCTAATTATTTGCAATTTTTGTCAGTATTGCCAATGTACTCCATCAATTATCCATTCCTGAAATATATTACTGATTTCCAAGGATATTTCCCTCAAAATCCAGGAAAACAGGGATTTGGAAATTTATTTGGGGGTATTTTTTACTCCCAAGTGTTTTCATTTTTTGTGAGTTTATATGGCCCAGAATGTCTTGAGTACCTTGTGCTGTTAGGAAGCTTTTGGGCGCAACAAAATAGATTCAATATAAACACAAATATAATAATAATAATAACAACAACAATAATAACAATAATAATAATAATAATAGTAGTAGTAGTAGTAGGGTTAATAAGTAATAGTGATATATAATAGTAATTGTATATAATAACATATAATTATAATATATAATAATGATTATATGCATTAGATGTAATAATTACAATATATTATAATAATGTATACAATATATCTATATAAAAGTTATACATTACAGTAATTGTATATAATAGCTATATATAATTTTATAAAGTATAATATATATTTAATGTATATAATTGAATAAAAAAGATATAATTGAATAAATAAATATAATATATATTTAATGTATATAATTGTATATAATTGAATCAATATATTTATTTAGAAACTTTTATTTGTCATTATTATTTATATTTAGTATGTACTTACATATTTTATATATATAATATTATATATTATGATCTATATTATATATTCTAGCTGTGCTTAACTATAACTATAACAACTATAACTATAAATATAAATGTAAATGTAAATATAAATATTAAATTATACACATAAAATTTGTAAGTAGAAATATAGGCATAAATATAGCTATAAATTAAAAATAAAAATAAAAATAAATCCAGTCTCTGAGCTGTAATTTTCCCTGAATTTCCTGTGGAATTCCAGCTCTCCTGGGGTGTTTTTTGATGTCTTTTTTCCCTGACTCCATTTCCAGGATGCCCACGAGCTGTTCCATGTCCTGACCTCTTCCCTGGAGGACGAGCGGGATCGGCAGCCCCGTGTGACCCATCTGTTTGATGTGCATTCCCTGGAGGTGATCCCCCTTCTTTCCTCAGCAGAAACTCCTGTCATCTGCCCAGATTCCCAAGTAGAAAATGTATATTTAGAATATTTTGATTCTCTTCCCAAAGCTGTTCTTTAATCATTTGATAAGGACTCATCAATAAGTCAAATTTAAAGAATTCTCAGGTTTTCCGAAGAAAATATCTCTGAATTTTCAGTGTTCTTGCTTTCCTGAGGGTTTTGAATCCCTAAATTAATGGGGTGTAGGGATTTAATTTAGTCCCTCCAGACAGTTACTCTGATCTTTATTTCCCACCTGAAAAAGGGTTGAAAAGTGCAAAAAGGACATTTCTGGAAGAGTTTTATGGAGGTAAAATTGATCTTACCCTCCAGCTTGCTGATAAGCTTGATGCAGATGGAAAATATCTGGTTTTGCCTAAAAGATAGACCTAAAAAAAGGACAAAATCTCCTATTTTAGTGTTCTGAGGAAGAGAGTTCAGCAGATTAATGATTCCTTTTATGAGCAATTGTCAATTATAAATTTGTTTTGTACCAAGTTTTTTTGTTCTTACAAATATAAAGAGCCACAATTTTTCTAATGGCAGAAAAGACAATTAGGGATGAAATAGGAGCACATTTAATACTTCATGTATTAAATTTCTAAGTCTTTTTTTATCTTGCTGAGGTAGGGTTAATGAAATGTTTTTATCTCCCTCTGTAGCAACCAGAAATAATCCAAAAGCAAATAAGCTGCAGAACAAGAGGTAGGATTTTATCCCTTCTGGATATTCTGATTATTCATAGGGTAGTTTTGTTTATTAAAGGGATAATATTAATTGATCTTTGTGCTGAACTGAAATAGAAATCAAAAATATAAATAAACCTCAATTAATTATTCATCGCTGAGACAAAAGTGTGCTGTGGAGGCATTAATTTTGTAACTGAAGGGCAAAAGTGTGGGATTGGAATGATGGAAGTGGATGAATGGAAAATCCAAGGACGATTTTTGTGTTGCAGGATGTCTTCCCCCTGTGTCCAACCACTGGAAATCTCAGCACCCTTTCCATGGAAGGCTGACCAGCAACATGGTCTGCAAACACTGTGAGCACCAGGTGTGGAAATAGATAATATTTTATATTATTATTATTATTATTAATATCTGTGTCATGTGAGGAGGGATTTCCAACACTCAGAGTTCTTCCTGGAACCATCATCTCTTGGTGATGAACAAGGATTTATCCCTAAATAGACTAAAAAAAATCCATGTGATGCACCTTGTGGGGGTAACAGCTGCCTCATCAAACAGAATAATGGTTGTTTTATTCTATTAATGAATTAACAATTAATTAATAATTTTAACTGAAAATCCACTCAACTGGGTGAGTTTAGGACTTGCTGCTCATTCAGCACATTTTGCAAAGTCCAGTTATCCCAAATAAGGAGATGCAGACAACCTGGATAATGGAAAAAATACAGAAAATAAAACCTCATTTATAGCCCAAACCAAGAAAAAATTGTATTTTATTTCCCAAAACCTTGCAAACAAATTGGAGTGAGGAGGAAGAGGCTGAGCAGAACATTCCTGATATTCCCTGGGAAACTGAGGGGTTTGGATCCTGTTCCCCCAGGGAATTATGGACAGCACAGGGCACAGGCTCACCTTGGGAGAGCTGGGTTGGATTTTTTGGAGACTGATGATGCCTTGAAGGCTACTTTGAACAGAGGCTACACAGTGTTAAAGAATAAAGTAAATATTTATTAAAAAGGATTTCACAGGATACACCTTGGGCAGGGCTACACCCAAGATGATCACGAGTTTTCTCACTTTTTTATAAATTTTGGTCCATTTCCATATTGGGGTTAATTGTCCAATTACCACTTCAGGTTATGAAGTCCCATCCTCCCAGTTTGCTCTCCTCAATTTACATTTTTTGGGTCTTTTTGTTGTTTACATTTTTTAGAAGCTGCAGCAGTGTTGTTGGTTCTGGGGTTGGAGAAGCATTGTTGTGTCTGACTGAACTGTGAGGAGAACTTGCTAACACTTTCTGTGAATCTCAGAGTTGTATCCTAATGCAGCGCAGAATGTGAAAAACATGAAAGCTAAAACTGAAGGCATCACTGACATAAATGCTGGCTCTGGAATGTTCTCTTGCAGAGCCCTGTGAGGTTTGACACCTTTGACAGCCTCTCCCTGAGCATTCCAGCAGCTGTGTGGGTACGTATCCCCCTGCTCCTGATCCTCCCTGCCCTTCCCAGCCCTTCCTCAGGTGCAGAAAACACTCAGAGCTCCTTCAGGACTTGATTTTCCTGCTCTGTTTCAATCCTGTGCTGCTGCAGGACCTTCTCCCTAACTGGTGGTAAAAGGTTCTGATGAGCCCAACAAGCAGAACTTGGTGATACCGTCAGAGCTTTCTGTTTCTCCTGGTGGAGGATTTGGTCTTTTCCACAAATTCCACAAAATTTTGGTCTTTTCCACAAATCTGAAGAGCCCAGATCATATCCCAAGGGCTGGCAAGGTGACCTTCAGCTGGCAATTCACACCTTACCCCATCCAGGCTTTTCCAAGGGGTGAATTCAACTGGGAATAGTTTCCATTTCCTTCTGGCTCTGAAAAACTTCAAAATGACAAAACGTTGTGGATTTTTAGGGCATCACCTGCAGGATATTTTTGGACTGTAAGAGTTTGTTGCTTCATGTCTGGTAGGGATTTCTTTCCACAGCTCATGGAAATTGTGATTTCTGTTTGCAGAGTGCCCTCCTGGACAGCCAGGATTGAAATCTGGGCACATCTTCTGCTCTTTGTGTTTTGTTTTATCCAGTCCTTGGCAGGGCAGGATATGAGGAAGGGCAGCAAGGAGGCCTAAATCCCATTAAAAGCTGTATTTCTGCTATGGAGAGGGCCAGAGAGCATAAAGTGACCCCTGAAGTGCTGGAATGAGAGATAAATAGGAACAAGACAGAAATCTGGGGTTTAAAATCCCACTGAAAGGCTCACACAGGGAATCACTGCTGCTGTTACCAAAAAGCTGCAGACTTTTTCATGTTTAATCCAGGCTAAAGGAGAATCCCCACAGTTCCATGATCACCCAAAGCCATTTACTCACTTCTTTCATTAAATAAATCTGCAGTTCTGTATTTTTTTATGGAAAAAATTATTAAAAATCCTTTCCCAAAATCCAGTGGAATGCACCCTAAAATTCCTGCAAATAATTCTGGTTTTTCTTGGCTCTCAGGGTCGTCCCATGACACTGGACCATTGCCTCCATCACTTCATCTCCTCAGAGTCTGTCAAGGATGTTGTGTGTGACAACTGCACCAAAGTAGGTCCCTTTGATTCCTGTCACTTTAATTCCTGTCACCTCCCTGCTCAGTTTTGAGCCTGCTGACACAATCCTGGCTTCACTTTCCACCTTCTTTTTCTTCAGGACTTGGGGAAAACCTCTGGGATTTCAGATATTTAACAAGGAGTTCTTGCCTCATGAAGTATTTGAGACTTTACTTGCTACTGCTGTTACAAAAATCTACAGATATTTTATTCTGTAGTTGCCAGGTGTCACCAGGGATCATTTTTTTGCTCTGGTATTAAAAATCAATTCTGTTTAAAAATGAACAAAAGAGGCAAATGAGTGCAGTTCTGAATGGAGTTCTCTAAATTCTCATTTCTGCTTGATTTTGGTTTAGAATTTTAATCCTTTAAGAATTTTGAAGAGCATTCCTGGGTGTGATTAATGCACTGAGCATAAACCAGACAATAAATTGCTCCTGTCTGCAGGTGCCTTCATTTTTTTTCCCTTTTCATTCCAGATCCAGGCACAAGGAATTCTGAACGGACAGAGCATAGAAAACCAGAGAACAACATTTGTTAAGCAGTTAAAGTTAGGAAAGGTGAGGCAAAAAAAACCCCTCCAAATCCCTTAAATCCTGTCACAGTAACTTCTCCCTTGGAGCTGGTTGTGCCCATTTCTTGCTGCTAGACCACAAATGTTTTATTTTTCAAAGTAAACTCACCTGGCAAATATCTGTGGGCATTGAGGCCTCAACTCAGCAAAACATGAAACATTAAACAATTAGAGGATGTGAATATTCTGTTATTTAGAAAAACACTTAAATGTGAATTTGGCTCAGTGTCATCTCTTAGATTTTACATTAATTTTACATTTGCTCTCCAGTGAGCAAATTGATTTATATTTACAGGATTTGTAGCATCTTTAGCAATTCCTCATTTCAGAGAAATTAAAATATTCTTAGTACAGCTGGTGAGTAAACATCAGGTGTGATTTCTAAGAAAAAACTTTTTTTTTTGCTCTGTAATCCTGTCATGCAGAGACCAGCAGGGCACTGGAGTGTAATTAGGAGCCTCAGGTGCCAATAATAATAATAATAATAATAATAATAATAACATACTTCTTGCTACAGCAATTATTTTTAATTTCAGCTCTTTATAACACTTAATGTTTTTGGTTTTCCCCTGTGCAAAGCCATTAATTTTTGGGGATTAGGAGAGATCAGGAATCTCACAAGAATTATTGTCACATTTTAAGGACACTGTTGCCACTGAGTTTACACTGAGATAAGAGAAAAGCATTTCCTTATTCCCTGGGCTTACCAGCTGTTTTTTTCCATGAAAAATGTGGATTTTCCTTTGCTGAAGCTGCCCCAGTGTTTGTGCATCCACCTGCAAAGGCTGAGCTGGTCAAACCAAGGCACTCCCCTGAAGAGACACGAACACGTCCAGTTCAACGAGTTCCTGGTCATGGACATCTACAAATATCGAGTTCCTGGTCCCAATTCCTGCCAGGAGCAGCTCAGCCAGAAAAACCCTGAGGAGACAACCCCTGGAATAAAGGATGGGAGAGCAGGGAAACCTTCAGGTACCTCCTTTGCCAATAAAATGGTCCAGCTCTTTCTGCATGTCAGGGATCGCTGCAGGATCAAGCCATGCTTAGCATCTTGATGTGGGGCTCTGCAAAGAGGACAGAAGTCTCCCTGCCATTCCCAAATTTACAGTTCAGTTTGGAAATTTTCATTTTATCCTACTAAATATATATATATTTAAAAAAAATATATATCCAAAGGAGTGTTGAACTTGGGATGTCCCAGGGTTTTTCTTGTTAGAGATCTCTTCCAAGGCTTCAGGACAAGCAGAGAGGGAATGATGGATTCTTCAAAAATAGTTGGAAAATCCAGGTGTAGGAGGTGTGTTCTCAGGCAGCTCAATATTCCTTTAGTTGGGATTTTGGACACATGGCAATTTCCATATTTGTCATGTAAAATGAATTTGAATAAAATATCCATTGCCTTTGGATATGAAAATCAATAAAATACCTTCATATCCCGTGTTGAGGAGCAGGGATTCTGTTCTTAGCAACAGCATTCAAATTAAATCCCTAAATTTTTCCTTCCTCTGGCAGATGCAGAACAACCAGCTGGTACCAAACCTCTCTTCATGAATGGTGCCTCCTCTTCCTCCTCCTCCTCTCCCTCATTTTTAATGTCCCCAGGAGCTTTCCCACTTGCTGCATTCCCGGAGTGCAGGTAAGTTAGAGATTTGTACCCTCTCTCTTCATTTCTTTCTTTCAAATTGTCTCCCTTTCTTCTGTCCTTGTCCTGAGGCTGATTATCCTTTTCCATAGAATTCCAGAATGGGTTAGGTAGGTAGGGAACTTAGGGACCATCCAGGTGCAGGCCCCTTCCCATGGGCAGGGACACCTTCCACTATCCCAGGGTGCTCCAAACCCCATCCAACCTGGCCTTGGACACTTCCAGGGATGGAGCAGCAGGAAAAAGCAGTTTGGATCACAGAATGATTTGGGTTGGAAGGGAACTTGGAGGTCATCCCATCCCATCCCACCACTTACCATGGGCAAGGACACCTTCCACTGTCCCAGGTCACTCCAAACCCCATCCAGCCTGTCCTTGAGTACTTCCAGGGGTGGAGCAGCAGGCAAAAGCAGTTTAGATTGGAAGGGAACTTGGAGGTCATCCCATCCCACCACTTACCATGGGCAAAGATACCTTCCACTGTCCCAGGTTGCTCCAAACCCTGTCCGACCTCACCTTGAACACTTCCAGGGATGGAGCAGCAGGAAAAAGCAGTTTGGATCACAGAAGGATTTGGGTTGGAAGGGAACTTTGAGATGATCCTATCCCACCACTTACCATGGGTAGGGACACCTTCCATTAGACCAGGGTCGGAGCAGCCGCACAGGGAGCCATGCCTTTGCTCCAGGCAGGAATTGTGGCTGCTCTGGTGTTTGTGTGTGTGCGGCCAGGCTGACCCGTGTCCCCGCAGGGCCCCGCTGTACCTGTACCGCCTGATGGCCGTGGTGGTTCACCACGGGGACATGCACTCGGGACACTTCGTCACCTTCCGGCGCGCGCCGGGCGCCCGCGGCAGCCAGTGGCTCTGGATCTCGGACGAGTCGGTGCGCAGGGCCAGCCTGCACGAGGTGCTGGCAGCCAGCGCCTACCTGCTGTTCTACGAGCGCGTGCACGGCCGGGGCCAGCCCCAGAGCCCGGCCCAGAGCTGAGACAGCGCTGCTGGGACCGTCCCAGCCCTTGGGGTCATCCCAGCCCTCAGGATCATCCCAGCCCTTGGCGTCATCCCCAAGGGTGATCGTGGAGAGGGATTGGGACCCTCCTGGGATGGTCACAGCCCTCGGGGTCATCCCAGCCCTCAAGACTGTCCCAGCCCCTGGGACGGTCCCAGCCCTCAGGATTGTCCCAGTCCTCAGGACCATCCCAGCCTTTGGGACTGTCCCAGCCCCTGGGATGGCCCTGGCCCCTGGGATGGTCATGGCCCTTGGGTTCATCCCAGCCCCTGGGATGGTCCCAGCCCTTGGGGTCATTCCAGCCCCTGGGATGGTCCCAGTCCTTGGGGTCATCCCAGCCCTCTGAACCATCCCAGCCTTTGGGACCATCCCAGTCCTTGGGGTTATCCAAGCCCCTGGGATGGTTCCAGCCCCTGGGATGGTTCCAGCCCCTGGGATGCTCCAAGCCCCTGGGATGGTCCAAACCCTGGGATGGCCCCAGCTCCTGGGACAGTCTCAGCCCCTGGAATGGTCCAAGCCCTGGGATGGTCCCAGCCCTCAGGAGGTCCCAGCCCTCGGATGGAGCCTCTCCATTATGCAAACCTCCCCCTGTCCAGGCTCCCTTCCCGGTGGGAGCAGCTGGGAGTTGTGGTTTGTAGCCAGGTCCTGCTGTTCCAGCTCCGTGCAGCCCCAGGTGTGTGTTTGAGAAGTGTTTTCTGCCTGTCCCAAGGCTCTGGTCCATGTCCTGACACCGCACTTTTCCCAGGGAGATGCTTCATCCCATCCCACACATTTCACTTCCCAAGGGGGAGCCCTGGAAAGAGTTGATGTCAAGCTGCTGTTGAGGAGCCCCTGCCCATCCCAGTCCCTTTCCACAATGCACCAGCCCCTCCAGGTTCCCTTCCCTGTGGCAATGGCTGGGAATTGTGTTTTGTACCAAAATTCCCAGAGCTGTTCCAGCCCCAAGTGTTGAGCAGCCCTTGTCTGTCAGGCAGGGATTTTATCCCAAGGCTCTATTCCCAATGGGGAACCCTGGGAGGGGGTGATGGGAAGCTGCTGTTGGCAGTGATTTAAGACACAAAAGTGCCTTGAGCTTCCCTGAGCAGCTGCAGTGCCACTGGCCCAGCCCTCTGCATGCCCACTGTGTCCTGGGAATGCCTCACACCCATGGGATGAACCCCTGGAATCCCATTCCTCCTGACCCATCAAGTCAAGGCATCTCCACAAACTGCCCCCCATCCAAAAGATTTCCCTGTTGACTCAATTTTCCTCCCACTTCACTTCTTTATATTATAAATTCCTTCTCCTGATTTAAATTGCTTTATCCAGGAGATAATTTTGTATCTATTAAGAGCTGAAACCTTAATTTATTGCGCCATACCTTTGGAATCTAGCTGGAATCAGCACATGGAAGTGTTTGCTAGTGCTCAGTGTTGTCATTTCCTTCAGCACTGTTGAATCCAGTTGTTTTGTAGCATCAATTACAACTTTTAATGCTGTGATTTCCAAGCTGCTGTAACTGTTCTAGACTTGCCCTTCCCATTTTCTTGCTGGAATTTGCTATTCCCAGCACTGGGATCCATGCTCCTGGCTTGCAGCCCCTGGCCTTGTTAAATGGAATATAAACAACAGGGCCAGGACTGGTGGGCACTTACTGGTCTCATGAAGAAATCTGGGAATCCTGCATCAGCTCCAGGCTGCCCTGTAAATAGAAATAAGGGGAATTCTGCTGCTCTGGATTGTTTGATGTGCAAAAAAAAAAATTAAAAAAAAATCCCAAAGCACAGAGGGAAAAGCAGCAAAAATCCTCCTTTAAAAACCTGCTTTTAAATGACCAGGAATAAAATATGTAGGTTGTTTGTAGCTCTTTTCTGTCCTTGTAAGCTTGGAGGAGAAAAATGCCTCATCAGACAAGCTTTTTTTTTTCAGTGTGAAGTTTTCAAATAACAACTGTCTTAAATAGTTTTTTTAGGGCAACTTTGTACCTCATGAATTCATAGTGCTGCCCAAAGCTCGGGGGTGTTCCCACTTCCTCAGGAGAGGCTCCAAACCAGCCAAAGCAGGAGTGGTAAAATGGGTGGATATGCCAAATTATTTACATAACTCATCATTCCAGAGTCTGGAGCACAATTCCTGGCCCAGGTAAATGCTCATAGTACATAAATATTGATAAATCCACTGCTGGACTGGGACCTGGTTCCTGGCTGTGCTGCACGAGCAGTAGCTTGGTTTTAACCTGCTTTAATTTACAGAAAACCAAGAAAACAAACAAAAAGGATGCAAAATGCCAAAAATTTGCTCTGGCCAATGAAGGAAGAGCTGACAGAGCTGGAGAAGGAGCCAGCCCTCCCTACTGGGAGCCATCTAAAACCATCACCCCAACATCTCCCTGCAGCAGATCTGCCCCTGCACCCCAGAACTGAAACCACTTCCAGTGCCAGCAGTGGCAGTCCTGCATTCTCCAGGCTCAATGCTCTGCTTGGGGGGGGTTTTCCTGAATTTGGGGGGTTTTTCTTGGATTTGGGGGTTCAGCTGAGCAGCCCCTTGGTTGTGCTGGAGCAGGGGCAGAGGACACGCACACTATGGACTGAAACCTGAAATCTGGCAGCTGGGACCAGCCAGGTTTTCTTTGCCAAGAGCTGTTTCCCTGGGCTGTGGATTGACTCTGGATCTCCCTCAAGGGCTGTCAAGGCGAGGGTTGAGCCTTTTTTTTGGCTTTGCGTGGTGGGGAGGAGTAAATGAGCTTGGCTTAACCCTCAGGTGAGGAAGGCAGCAAAGCCCAGCACCTCAGTCCTGGCCCTGAGCTGTACCAGCCCCCTGTGAGCTGGGGATCTGTGCAGGGCTTTGGGAGCTCATCCTCCCCTCTGGAGGTCACTGGGATCTGTTTTCCAGCCAGCCACACCTGTGGAGATCACTGGAATTTGTGCAGGTGTTTGGGAACCAGCCCTCCCCTTTGCAGGGCTCTGTGTTTGCCAGCCCAGCCTCCCCTTAGGAGATCACTGGGATCTGTCTTTCCAGAGGTCACAGAATTCTCTGTTTTCCAGCTAAACCTCCCCTCTGGAGGTCACTGGGATCTGTTTTCCAGCCAAACCTCCCCTCTGGGAGGGCTCTGCGTATCCACAAGGCTCAAACTCTGGTACTCGTCCCTCCCAAGCTGCCATGGTGGAGAAGATGTTAATAAATTGTAAAGAATTAAGAGCTCCAAGATGACATTTCTGTGTTTGGATTATTCTTGTCTTTATTTTGTGTGTTAATTTAAAAATGTCTGTTCCAGTCCAAGCACTGCACTGCTGTTTGAAGTTGCTTTTTTTCCACTTCAAGGTATTTTTGTAACTGTACAGTAGCAATAAAAGAACAAACTTGGTAGAAAAATCAAGTGTGGGAATGTCTTGAAACAAACACCAAGCTGGGAGCCAAAGGGGTTGAAACAACACTTCACAAGCCCTGGATAAGAAAGATTTCCAAGCTCCAGAGCATCTCAAGAGTGGCAGAGGGTGGGAAGTACCAGGCCTTAATTCCACAGGAATAATGGATCCAGCACTGAAGGCCAGAGCCCAGCACTGATTCCAGAAGCTGTAGCCAGGTTACACAGGATTTGGTTCCCATTCTCACCCAGAAGTTTCCATTCCTTGATGGTTCAAGATCTCTTGGGGACTGGACAGAATTCCCTCATTTCCAGCAGGATTCCCTGTGGGTGTGGGAGGTGGTGGCTTTCAGGCAGTCAGGAGGAGATCCCTAGGGATAATTATTTAGGAAAATAAACTCTAAAATTTATACAGGAATTTATTTAGGAAAATAAACTCTCACTTTCCACTGGAAAGTGACAACCTTCCAGTGGAAACGGGACAACCCAGTTCTTCCCCACAAGGGCATTTTTTGCTGCCTGGTTTTTGTGCAAAATACCTGAGGGAGGAAAAATTTTGTGCTTGTCCTGCAAGAGCAGCCTCCCTCAGGAGCAGAGGAATCCAAGCAGAAAGGAATGAAACATTCATCCAGCCACACCCTGTCCTCACAGCTCAGAACTCTCCTTCTCATGTCAGGCTCATTTTGCTTTATTTTAATTTAAAAACCCCAAGCAAACCAGAGCTCATTGACAGAAAGTGCCACCAGTAGAATATCAGCTTTAAATGTGAGCTTCTGGCTCACAGTGTTTACAAACTGCTGCCTCCAGGCCATGGAGCATTTTCATCTTCTTGGAACAGTACTTAGCTAAAGATCAGCTGAGAACAAACTTCTCCCCAAGCCAAACAAGGGGAGCAATCAGCAAAAACAGGGATCAGCAGGACCAGAGCAACATTCCCAGAAGCAACCTTGCCATTGAGATTGGTGGTCACAGGCTTAAGCAGCAAAATTATTAAATTTTGTCCATTAGGTGATGGACCAGGAGGTGAATCCAGAATTCACCTGCTGGAACAGATGACTCCACAGTTTCAGCAGGAACTAAAACCTCACTTTTCAGAGCTATGGAACTGCTTAGCTAAAGATCAGCTGAGAACAAACTTCTCCCCGAGCAAAACAAGGGGAGCAATCAGCAAAAACAGGGATCAGCAGGACCACAGCAACAATTCCCAGAGGGAAGAACCTTGCCATTGATATTAGTGGTCACAGGCTTCAGCAGCAAAATTATTAAATTTTGTCCACTAGCTGATGGACCAGGAGGTGAATCCAGAATTCACCTGCTGGAACAGATGACTCCACAATTCCAGCAGGAACTAAACTTCAGAGCAGGCGCATCCACAGTTCCAGCAGGAACTAAATTCACTTTCCAGAGCCCAAAGGCCCCCGTGGCTGAACATTTCCCCTCTGGGACACGGGCAGGACGTTCCTGAAGGTGAGGTTGACCCGGGGGGCCAGCACCCTCCTGCGTGGGGGCAGGCTGTGGTACCAGTGCACGTTGGTGGGGTGTTTCATGAGGAGCAGGCTGCCGTGGGCCAGCTGCAGGCAGATCCTCCCCGGGCCCGCGGCTCCTCCCCGGCCTCGGCCCCGGCGGCGGAACACGAAATCCCGGCAGGCTCCGAAGGACACCGAGGCGATGGGGCTGAGGGGAACCAGCTCCTTCTCGTCGTCACGGTGCTCCCCGATGTGGTCCAGGCCGTCTTTGTACCTGGGAATTAACTCTGGGCTTGTTATTAATTTAATTTTAATCATTCAATTAATTATTATTAATCTAATAATTATTTTGAAATTAATATTTATTATAATTCATATTATATGTACTAATTTTGTATTTAATTTTATGTGAATGTGTGTATATTTCATAATTCTATATTTGTATACTTTATAAAATATTTATAATTATTTTATTACAATATAATTTTATATCGTAAATATATCAAATAAATAAATAAAATTAATTAATATATTTGTTATATTAATATATAATAAATATAATATATTTGTAAATATATTAGCTTCATATTTAATTTTACACTTATTTATCTAGAGTTATTCTTAATATATTCCTATTTTAAAATTTATAGTTATATACTTACATTTTATATTTTTATATATTATAAATATATAAATTTTATATTTTATATTTAATTTATACTTAATTATTTAATTTACTTTTAATATATTTATATTTATATTTATATTTATATTTATATTTATATATTATAATTATACATTAATTTTACATTTTATATTTAATTTCATACCTGATTATATTAAATATAAATATATATTATATAAAATCAATTTCATGTATAATTAAATTAATTACATTTGATAATAATTATCAAATTATTAATTGATTTAATAATAATTAACTTATAGTGCTGCATTCTAAACTTTTTGTTTATCTTTCTACTTTTATATATGTATTTTACCTATATATTAATTTTACATTTTATATTTAATTTCATACTTAATTATATTAAATATAAATACATTAATATATTATTAAATTAATTAATTTAATAATTTCATTAATAATAATAAAATTATTAAATTAATTAATTTAATAATAATTTAATTATAGTGCTGCATTCTAAACTTCTTGTTTACCTTTCTAATTACTCTTATATTTTCTGTATTTTAAACTCTAAAATTCTCAACTTTCTTTTCCTTAGTTTAAACTTAGTTTTACTTAGTTTTCTTAGTGTCTCTGCTTTAAACCACAAACCACATTTTTGCTCCTAGCTCTTAAGTTTGGAAGCCTTTCCTAAGGTCTTAACTCCTGTGTTTAATCCTAAGCTTTAGCTTACAGGCCTAAAGCCCTGAGAGTCGCCTGCATTTCAGACTCCAACATAAAAATTTGGGTGTTATTTTGTTATATTTAAATAAAAAGCTGCTTGGTGGAAGGGGCTGTACCTGTTGATGAGGACAAAGTTGAAGGTGTGTCCCGTCTCCGAGGTGACGCGCTCCCGGATCCGGGTCAGCACCGGGATCCAGGGCTTGGGGTGGAACGTGACCCCTGAGTAAGTGTAGGACAGGCCAGGGTCTCCATAGGTCACCTTCTTCCTGGGAATCTTGTGCCACGTGCCAAACACCTGCAGCTTTGTCATCTCATCTGGGGAAGGATCAAACCTGGGTTTGTACTGTGTCTGCACAGTCCAATACTGTCCTGGATCTGCAGCTCCTGGGAATCTGCAGGTTCTGGGAATCTCTGCACGCTCCAATATTCTCCTGGATCTGCAGCTCCTGGGAAACTGCAGATTCTGGGAATCTCTGCACATTCCAATATTCTCCTGGATCTGCAGCTCCTGGGAATCTCCAAACAGGAGTGAGGAGGCTCATGACAACCCAAAAGCTGTCACCCCTGCTCCCAGGGTTTGTGTCCCAGTAAAGCTGGCTTCTGTCTGTCCTCCCCCATCACACCCCTCACACACCGCACCTCCAACAAATTCCAGCCACCACTCCAGGATTATCCCTTGACAAACACTTCCAGCTCGGCAAAACCAACCCTGCAGGATCAGATCTGTGTCCCTTGGCTTCTCAGGGCCAACACCAGGTGGCTGCAGGATCCTCCCAGTGCCCACCAGCTGTGCCCAGCCCTGGGAACTGCCCTGGGACCCACCTGGGTGGGCTGGGCAGGGAAATGCTTCACTGGGAAGGGGAATATGGAGGGGAATACAGCTGGACACAGAAAGGTTGAGGGTGGAAGGGACCAGGGGGGTCATCCAGGCCACACTCCTGCCCAAGTAGGGTCTCCAGGAGCCCTCTCCAGGCCCTTCGGGAGACCTCCCTGGACAGCCCGTGCTGCAGCACGCTCACAGGGCAGGAATGTACCTTCGAAATACTCCACCTCCTTCTCCAGCTCCTGGAAGATCTCGTCCGCCTCGGCCTTGCCGAAGAGGATGCGGTAATCACAGCTGAGCCCCTCGGCGCGGATCTCCCGCGGCGGCGGCCGCTCCGGGCCAGGCTCCTCCAGCCGCGGCCTCTTCCCGCCGCTGCCGCCGCCATCCCCCGCCGGCCCGCGGGGCAGTTTGACCACGAACGCGTCCATGGGCGGGCCCGGGAGCGATGCCCGGGAGGGAAGGAACGGGAGCCGCGATCCCGCGGGAAACAGGAACACGCGAAGCCCCGCCCCCTCTCCAGCTGGCCACACCCCCAGCGCACGCGCGCGGCTTTGGCGCCAAATCCGAGTCCCGCCCCCCCCGCTCGTTCCGCGCCGCTGCCGCCCCTCACTGAGCCCCGGCCGCCCTCGCTCGCTGCCTGCCCCGCTCCGCCGCAGACATGATCGGGCAGAGGACGCTGCACTCCTTCTTCAGCCCCGCGCCGGCCAAGAAGCGCGGGCGCTCCCCGGAGCCGGGCGGCGATTCTGAGGTAGCGGTCGGGGGGCTGAGGGGGCCCGGGGCTCCGGAGGAGGGGAGAGCGGAGGGAGGAGAGGGCTCTATGGGCGGCGCGTCCGTGCCTGGCTCTGTGTGGCTCTGAGGGGGCCTGGGGGCACTGTCGGCCTTTTCTGAGGGGAGTTGGGGGGGGGCCACAATTTCCAAACTGCCGCGCCGCTCCACGCGTGGCTGAGCTGCCAATCAAGCGGCCACGCTCCGCTGCTGCCCAATGGGCGCTGAGTGTCTCCGTGACGTCACAGTTACTAGGTGAAAACCTCCCCTCCAGCCGCGGCGAGCCAATGGGGGCGCGTTTTGTGTTGTGCCGCGCAACCGCCGCGTGTGGCGGGACTGCCCCTTGGGCGGGGCGTGTCCCGCAATGGCCGCGCGTTCTGCAGCCATGGCCGGTGCCGCCGTGACCGCGCGTTCTGCAGCCGTGGCCGTTGCCGCCGCGGCTGGTGCAGCCGTGGCCGCGCGTTCTGCAGCCGTGGCCGCGCCGCTCTCCCGCCTCGGGCCGCTCCTCCGCCCCAGGCTGCTCTCCCGCCTCAGGCTGTCCCCGCTGCCCTCCCGCACCCTCCGCAGCACCCCCCCTGCCCGCTGCTTCCAGGTGAGCGCCGCCAAGAAGGCGAAGGAAGCCGGCGGTAACGCGAGCCCGGCGCTGAGCGCGGAGCAGCAGGAGCGCATCCGCAGGAACAAGGAGGCGGCGCGGCAGCTGCTGGCGGAGCGGAACGTGCCCCCGGGCTTCGGCGACAGCTGGCGGCGGCAGCTGGCCGGGGAGTTCTCCAAGCCCTACTTCGCGGAGGTGAGCGGCATTCCCCGATCCCCCCGCACTCCCCCGAGCGTCCGCTGAGCCCCGCTGAGCCCCCGCTGTCCCCGCAGCTGATGGCGTTCGTGGCCGAGGAGAGGAAGCGCTACACGGTGTATCCGCCCCCCGAGCAGGTCTTCACCTGGACGCAGATGTGCGACATCTGGGATGTGAGTAGAGCCCTGGTGTGGGGGTCTCTGAGCTGATCAGGGCAGTTTAAAACCCTGCAGGTGCGGGGTGGGTGCACAGACTCGTTCCTTTAGTGTTTGGTCCCTTAAACTTGGATCCCATGGGATGCAGATGTTGTTGTTTGGTTCACCTAACTCATAAATCCAGCCTTCCCTTTCATGTCTGATAACAAACCGTGATTTTATTGTTTTATTACCCTCACAAGCCACTGAACTTCCTCTGGGCCTTTTGATCTTTTTTCTGGTTTTAACAGCTTAACCTAGCTCATAGTTTTTTGATCTTGAACGTCTCTTGTTCTTAAGGACTATTAAGAAAATAAGACAACACAAGGTAATGTTATTTCCAATAAAAGCTGTCAAAAATACCACAAGTGTGGCATGCAGCTGAAATGGGATGAAACTTACTTGGAAATGAACAAGGTGATTTTTTATGACTGTGAAAATGTTGGTCTTCTGCTCTCAAATTATACTGGTTATAGTCTTTATTTTGGCAGCAAAGCCATAGGGATATTAATCCCTAGTGTTAGGTGGGCTCTGTGCTCTTTAGCAATGAGATATCTGGGATTTAGCTTCAGTTTCTTGGATGGGTTGGTTTGTGGCACTTTTTTGTCTCTATTTTAAGATAAAGCTCATTTATAAACTTTTTTTTCCTCACTCTCTAGGAATAATACTGATTGAAATTCAATGCTAACCAAGGTCTGCTTTCAGGTAAAGGTTGTTATTTTGGGACAAGATCCATACCATGGACCCAGGCAAGCTCATGGGCTCTGCTTCAGTGTCCAGAAACCTGTTCCACCTCCCCCCAGGTACGAAAATGTACAAAATCCCTTTTGTTATTTAATTATTTGCAGTTCTGTGGTACTCAGGGCTGGGAAAATTGATGTGAAGTGGTTTGCAGCTGCTTAAATTTGTGTTGTGCATTACCTGGAAGGATAATTCTGTGTAGTTTTGGTGATATTCTGGATGTAAATTTTCATTTCCAGTCTCATTAAAGCTTCCAGGCAGACACACAGAGTCCCTGCTGTCCTGCCTCTGCAAATGGCTTTATTATCTTAAATAATAAGATTAAAATCAATGCTCTTCTTGCCTGCTTAGAGGAATAACTGGTGCTGCTTCTCCTTGTTGTATTAAAAGTCTTTTGCTGGTTTGGTTTGCAGCTTGGAGAATATTTACAAGGAGCTGTCTGAGGACATTGAGGGCTTCACCCACCCTGGCCATGGGGACCTGACGGGCTGGGCCAAGCAAGGTGAGCTCAGAGACCCTCAGTGATGTGCCCCCTGTGGAGCAGGAAAGAATGTTATCTAAAACCCAGCCCTGTGGTTGGAAATAATCCACCTGTAGGAGAGAAAATCACTTCTTAAAATGAAAATTTGCTTCAGCGGAAAAAAAGAAATTTGGATCTCAGAACGGTTTGCGGTTGAAAGGAGCTTAAAGCGTATCCAAGGGATACCTTCCAGTATCCCAGGCTGCTCAGAGCTCCATCCAGCCCGGCCTTGGGCCGTGCAGGGATGGATTAACCTGGATTAACCCTTGTTTGACCCTCTGGGTGTGCTCTGTTGGCCAGGGGTGCTGCTGCTGAACGCGGTGCTGACGGTTCGGGCTCACCAGGCCACGTCCCACAAGGAGAGGGGCTGGGAGCAGTTCACGGACGCTGTGGTGTCCTGGCTCAACAAGAACCTGCACGGGCTCGTCTTCATGCTCTGGGGAGCCTATGCCCAGAGGAAAGGCAGCTCCATCGACAGGGTGGGTACACCTCCTGCTCCTCAGCCCTTCCCTCTCCTCCCCACTCGGTTTGCTGGACGCTAGAGGGCACTTCCCTTACAGAATTGGGAATTTTCCCTGCCTGAACTCTGTCAGATCGAGCTCTGCTTCTGCTCCAGCTTAACCTTTGCCAGAATTGAGCAAGATGATTGGAGCAAGTGTAACTCCTGTTGTCCCACAAGGACAGAGCTGTTTTGTCCTAGCTGAGGGCTCATGAATCAGTATGAAATGTGCTGGTGGCTTGACAGCAATTGGGAAATGCCAGGGCATTTATGGCTTTGCTTAGTGGGACAGAAGTCTTGGTGCTTGTAAGCTGGTTCTCTTTGGGTCTCAGGGTGGTGCAGGAGGGGGTGTAAGGGGAGATCACAGCTGCCCTGGAGCAGGAATGGGGGTAAATCACACCTGCCCTGGAACAGGAAAAGGAGGAATGGGGGTAAATAACACCTAGTCTGGAGCAGGAGGAAGAATAGGGGTAAATCACCTGCCCTGGAGCAGGAATGGAGGTAAATCACACCTGCCCTGGAGCAGGAGGAGCAGGAATGGGGGTAAATCTCCTGCCCTGGAGCAGGAGGAAGAATGGGGCCAAATCACCTGCCCTGGAGCAGGAATGGGGGTAAATCACACCTAGTCTGGAGCAGGAGGGAGAATAGGGGAAAATCAGAGCTGCCCTGGAGCAGGAGCAGCCCAAACTCTGCAAATCTAACAAGTGTTTTCCTCTGCTGTCCCCAGAAGCGTCACCACGTCCTGCAGACCGTTCATCCCTCACCCCTCTCTGTCAACAGAGGGTTCTTTGGCTGCCGGCACTTCTCCAAGACCAATGAATTCCTCAAGAAATCTGGGAAGAAGCCCATTGACTGGAAAGCACTCTGAGCTGGGGCTGGGGCTTGGGAGCAGCCTCTGGGCCATTTCTGTGAGACTCCTGCTGACCTGAGAGTTGCTTTTCGGGTGTTGATCAATTTCCAAACTTTCAGAGATGATTATATTTTTGTTTGTAATGTTTATTTTCTGAGAGCATGTGGGAGTGTTTGGACAGCTCTGCTGCTGGAACAGATCTTAGCCTGGTTTGAAGCAAAACAAAAGACCCCACATACCAGAGTTGTGTATTAATTTGTGGTCTTTGTGGCAATGAGAATTTATTTTCAGACTCTGGTGAAGGGATGTCAGTTCTTACTGAGCTGCTCAGCTTTTGTGCATGCTCTGCTTCCTCCATCCCACACAAATCCAGTTTGCCTCTTTAGGGGGAATGGAGCTGTCTCCATGGGAGGAAAAGGCTTTTGGTTTTAGCTTTTTGCTACAGATTTATGACACAAATGGCTTCTCAAGGCTGTAAAGAAAATACAGGGTCAGGAGTGTTGCTTGGTGTGTCCATGATCTCAAGATTTTGAGATAAATTCTCCCTTCTGCCACAGGGAGGCTGTGACCAAGACCCTTGGAAATGCTTTTGTATTTTTTGTTGGCATTTAGACAGGAAAATCCAAAGGTTTTAGTTTCTTCCTGGGTGTGGAATCACCTGGGTGACAGGTGAGCTGTGCTGACCAAGGACCTGGGGGTATTTGCTGATAGCAGCAGTGAAGGTTTGTTCATTGACATCTCCCAATTCAGGGACTGATAGTTGCAAATTACTTCAGATCTTTTTAAGATCTTAAAAGAGGGAACTTTGTGCTTTGCCGTTTTGGGAGAAAATTAAAGTTTCCACCTACTGTTGGCAATAACTGTCAGGATTTCCAGGAGGGAGAGGTGTTGACTTCATACTCCTGGGTTTCCAGCCCATCTTCGACTTTGTAATTCCTTTAATGGAAATGAAGAGCTTTTACTTTTTTTTGGAAATCACACCAGTTTTTATAGAATATCCTTGTTACCCTTCCTCTGGTGTTCTCTCTGAGCTAACACTATCACCAGTGAATTTACACTGTCTGTGGCCTTGCTGTATATGTTGTTTGCTTGGGGTTTTTTTCCCGCAGTGTGTTTTTTTAAATAAAAATGACTTTGTTTACATGATCTTGCATGGGTATTTTAACTCGGGGAGGGAGGAATGGGGAGTCCCTGTTCCCCCCAGGGAACCAAACCCATGAGCGTGTCCTTGTCCTCATCCCCGTGACCAGGCACAGGGCCAGGGCACCTTTGTCCCCCAAGGATCGGGTGTCCCCCTCCCTCCCTCCACCCTCATCTCCAGCAGAACTTTTCCAGACACGTTAGCGGCGAAATATTTCTGCTTGACGTGACCGTCACGTGCGAGACCAAACTGGAACAGCCGGGCAGGGAGGGGGGCCCGTGCTTCCCTTGGGGGTGGCCCTGGCACCGCGTGGGCTCCGGCCCGGGGATAGCGGGGAGGGACAGATGGACACACGGACCGACCGGTGACACTGCAGTGACCCGGGAGCCCGGCGTGACCGGCGGGGTCTGGCGAGGAGGGGGCACGGGGCTGGTAGCCATGGTGAGGGGGCGAGGGCTGAGGGGAGCTTGGGGGGGCTGAGGGAAGGGAGAGGGCTGAGGGGAAAGTGAGGCGCTTTTCCCTCACCCCCATGCCCACTCTGACGGGGATAATCCGCCGCACTCACCGCGCTTCGGCGGTCCCGTTCAACGCGGCCCCGTGTGAGGAACCGCCATCCTGAGGGTGCTGTGAGGCCCGGGCAGGCCAGGCCGTGTCACCCCCCGGCTCCTCACGGGGCTCCGCTCCGGCTGAGGGCGGCCGGCACCGGGCGCTGCGGGACGGGGCCGTGGTTTCAGCGGCACAGCCGCGACCGCCGTGCTCTGTGTCCCCCAGGGCCCGTGAATGCTGCTGGCAGCGCTTCTCCTGCTCGCTCTGCTGCTGCTCCTTTGGGCCAAAATGTCCAACTCTCGGTGCGAGCAGCAGAAGGAGCCGGAGGAGAGCCCCGCAGCCAGGCCGAGCCCCCCGGTCCAGCAGAGCCTCCCGGGCCGGCAGAGCCCCCCGGGCCGGCAGCCGCCGCCGCGGGCCGGGCGGGCGGGCTCGGAGCAGGAGCAGCTCGCCGTGTACAACCCCGCGGCGCTGCGCCGCCCGGCCCTCGCCAAGTTCGTGCTGGGCTCCTTCGACGACAACTCCTCCGATGATGAGCTGATGGCCACGGCCTTCAGGGTGGGCCGGCGGCGCAGCAGCCTGGCCGGGGTGGCCGGTACCGTCCCCGAGCCAACCACCGTGAGCGACATTCTGGAGCCCAGCGGCGGCATCAGGTATGGATGGCAACCCCCGATGGTCGGAGCGTGGTCGGATAAGGATGTCCCAGTTAGGGAGGGTGGGTGCTTGTGGTGGGTACATTGCTGTTGGTAAATAAAATTGGAGTGCACATGTGCTGGTGCTCCTCGGAACCACAAGGTGATGTCCCCAATCCTGGTCCCTTTGAGGGAGCAGAGCCAGTGAGTGTCCTTGGCTGTGTGACAGCAGTGCCACCTGCAAGAAGCAGGGCAGGGGGTGCCCTCCAAAATCTCTAGTTTGAATGTGGGGCAGCTCACTGGGAAGCTCCCATGGGAGCACAGCTGATATATCCAGAAGAAACAACTTGGAAGCCAAATGCTGCTGCCTGCCTCCTCCAGCTGCTCCACTCTGGCTAAAAATAACAAACCTTTAGCTGCAGGGACATGTTGTGACACTCGACAGCCCGACGGTGGCTCTTGCCACGCAGGGTTTGAGGTGGTGCTGCCAGCAGTATCCGTGCTATTCTTCCATCCTTCCACAAATAAAGAATTTCCTGAGTCACATTGTAGATATGGTTGGTGACCTTTGCAGGACAGGCTCTGCAGGGGGTTTGGGGCTGGGGGAGGGCTCACTGGAATGGCTCTGGGCTCTCTGGGGTGGCCCTGGGCTCAGTGACAGCCACCACATCCCACCACAGGCCCAGCATGTCGGGGCTGAGCCTGACGAAGAGGACCCGCAGGAAAATGGACCTGCAGCGGGATTTTTCTGTTGCCTCCCCAGCCGAATTCGTCACCCGCTTTGGGGGCAACCGTGTCATCGAGAAGGTCTGTCCCCACACATCCCTGCTTGTGCCTGGCTAGGGGGTCACTGCTTTTCACAGGGACATCTTTGAGCACTGCCCAAATCTCCTGTGTCTGCCAGGCTTGGAGCAATGGCAGCTCCTGATTGACACACTCCCCCTGCTTTGCTCCACACTTACCCCTTGCCCCTGCACTGCTGTCACAGACATATTTTATGAAAAATCCTTTCATTAGGATCTTTTCTCCTGAGAAGCTGAGAAGCTTCAGCTTCTCCATGTTTTGCTGCTTTGGAATGTGATTTGGAGAATTGTTTACCCAGCTTGTGAAATTGTTTTTACTTGATGACCAATGACAGCCACCTGTGTCAAGGCTGTGAGCAATCACAAGATTTTATTGTCATTCTTTTCTATTCCTTTTAAGCATTCTGATGAAATACTTTCTTCTATTCTTTAGCATAGTTTTAATATATCATTTTCTTTTAATATAATATATATATCATAAAATAATAAATCAGCTTTCTGAAACATGGAGTCAAGATTCTCATCTCTTCCCATGTCGGGGATGCTCGCAATTCCTACATTTGGTGACCCTGAGTGAGGAACGTTACCAGATTTGGTGACCTTGAGTGAGGAGCATTACCACACACTGCCATCCCTGGGGGTAGCAAGGCCAGGGTTCACCTTGCCACCCCCTGTCCCTGTGTCCCCAGGTCCTCATTGCCAACAATGGCATCGCTGCTGTGAAGTGCATGCGCTCCATCCGCCGCTGGGCCTACGAGATGTTCCGCAACGAGCGCGCCATTCGCTTCGTGGTCATGGTCACCCCCGAGGACCTCAAGGCTAACGCAGGTAATTCCTGAAAATATCCCCAAAAAGGAGGTTCCCTACCTGTGGCTGAGGCGGGGCAGCCCTTTCCTGCCTGGCACGTGAGGGTTCTGCACAGACTGGAGTCACACAGTTTACTCCTGCGCAGCCAAATCCAGGAGTAAATTTTTCCCTGCTCCAGCCTCCCTAGGATGGAGGATTTGGGAGGGGGATCTGGCTCGGGGGTCTGGCTCAGGGATCTGGTTCAGGGATCTGGCTCTCACCACCTCCCCGTGCTCTCTTGCAGAGTACATCAAGATGGCAGATCACTACGTGCCAGTCCCTGGAGGGACGAACAACAACAACTACGCCAACGTGGAGCTGATTGTGGACATTTCCAAACGGATCCCAGTCCAGGTAATGAGCATTTGTGTGTCTCCCACCTCCTTGCAAGGGGGGTGATGTCCCTGTGTGCTGAGGAGCTGGGCACTGTGGGAGATGCCACCCACTGCTGCTTCTCCTTGTGCCAGGCGGTGTGGGCTGGCTGGGGACACGCCTCGGAGAACCACAAGCTGCCAGAGCTGCTGCAGAAAAACGGGATAGCTTTCCTAGGTAAGGTGTCACTGCTTTTCTGTGCTGGCTGTTGGGCTGGTGTGTGCACTCACAGTCCCTGCCAGGGACACTGCACTGGAATGCCCCTTTGGTGCCTCTGGCATGCCCAGCACATGGAGTGGCAGTCCTCAGGCTGGTTTCCTGGGGCAGGAATCCTGCTGTTTTCTGGGTTTTCCCTGTAATGTTCAGGCTGATGCAGTGTTCACAGAGGAACATTGGGTGGGAGCAGACCTGGTGGGATTCCTGGTCCTGAGCTGGGCAGTGGGTTTGGGGAGGTTCCTTTCCTGCATCCCCAGTACTTGCAGAAGGCTTGTTGGGCCAACTCAGTGATGTGGGGATGGGCTGGTGGATTGAGCACCCCCTCAGCTCTTCTCTCCCTCTCCAAAGGTCCCCCCAGTGATGCCATGTGGGCACTGGGGGACAAAGTTGCCTCCACCATCGTGGCTCAGACCCTGGAGATCCCCACCCTGCCGTGGAGTGGGAGTGGTGAGTGCCTCCTCACAGCCCCCACACTCTCCCTGCTCCCCTCTTCCCTGCCTCTCCTTGCCCCCAAAACAAGCACCAGGATGGGGGTCCTTGCTCCATCTGGCCACACATATTGGGGAGCCCATTGCAGCGGCTGATTCGGGTAGGGGGATTTTGGAGATGAAGTGCAAGGAAACAAGGGAAATGATGGAACCCTCAGCTCCCTGGGCACACCCAGCATGCCACCCCAGCTGTGCCACCCTGGTGGTGACCACAGCCCTGGCCATATCTGCAGGTCTGGTGGCTCAGTGGTCTGAGGAGGACCAGAATCAGCAGCAGACCATCAGCATCCCCCTGGAGACGTATGCACAGGGCTGTGTGAAGGACGTGGAGGAAGGCCTGGAGGTAAAGCTGAGCATGTAGGCAGCTCCTTATCTCTTGCCCACCATGGTTCCTCCTCAGAGCCTGCCTGCCTTGGCCCTTCTGGCCTCCCAGCACACACCACAGTGACACAAGGCTGTGCCAGCAGCAGTTTGTCCCACTGAATGAATGTCACTTGGGATAACCCTGCTCAGGGATGCCTGGAATTCTGTGGGCTGTCAGGGAGGTGTGCTGGGGTCCAAAACACTACAGCCACCCCAGCCCTGACCCTCTCAGGTGGCCACGAGGATCGGCTACCCCCTGATGATCAAGGCAGCAGAAGGCGGCGGGGGCAAAGGCATCCGGAAAGTGGAGGCAGCAGAGGAATTCAGTGCCAGTTTCCGGCAGGTGAGAGGTGCCTGGAACCCCATCCCTGCTCCTGTCCCATCCTGGCAGGGTCCTGCTCCCACCCGGGGCACCTCCCACTTCCTGCCGCACCTCTGCCTCTGTCCTGGGATGAATTTCGGGGGGCGACGCCAGAGCAGGACCCTCCCTCCCGCCGCAGGTGCAGGCGGAGGCGCCCGGATCCCCCATTTTCCTGATGCAGCTGGCGCAGCACGCTCGGCACCTGGAGGTGCAGGTCCTGGCAGATGAGTACGGCAACGCCATCTCCCTCTTCAGCCGCGACTGCTCCATCCAGCGCCGCCACCAGAAGATCATTGAGGAGGCACCCGCCACCATCGCTGCCCCCGCTGTCACCGAGATGATGGAGAAGGTGGGTAGCCTGATCTAAGGGCAGTTTGAGGGCTGGATTTCCCAGTTTTAATGGGAAACTGGGCTGGGTTTATTGGGGTTTTAAGGGAGGGATCCTGTGCTGAGCAGGACTCCCTGCCCAGGGTGGTCGGGCACAGGAGCAGCCTCCCCACGGAAGTGATCACAGCCCTAAGTGGGCCAGAGTCCAAGGAGCGTTTGGACTTCCAGGCACACGGTGGGGTTTTGGGGGTGTCCTCTGCACAAGCAGGAGCTGGATGCCGATCCTGCGGGTCCCTTCCCAGCCAGGATTCCATGACCCAGGTGTTTCCCTCTCCCGCAGTGCGCTGTCCGCCTGGCGCAGATGGTTGGGTACGTCAGTGCGGGCACCGTGGAGTATCTGTACGGGGAGGACGGCAGCTTCCACTTCCTGGAGCTGAACCCCCGGCTGCAGGTGGAGCACCCGTGCACGGAGATGGTGGCGGACGTGAACCTCCCGGCTGCCCAGCTGCAGGTAGCTGCACACAGGGCTCACTCCAGGGGTGTCGGAGGAGGCAGTTTGGGTGTTTAGGGAGGAGCACTGGGCTGGGGCCTGGCAGAGGGAAGCTGCCCCATATCCCAGCACGGAGGGTGCAGGTGAAAGAGGTGTGGCAGCTTTCCTTCTACTCTGGCTTCCCATTGGGAACTCTCCATTCAGATTCTGTCGGTGTCTCCCTGGCAGCTCAGGCCTTTGTCTCTCTGCAGATTGCAATGGGCATCCCCTTGCACAGGATAAAAGACATCCGGGTGCTGTATGGGGAGAGCCCCTGGGGGGACACCCCCATCTCCTTCCACAGCCCCTCCAACCCCCCCGTGCCCAGGGGCCACGTCATTGCTGCCCGGATCACCAGCGAGAACCCCGAGGAGGTGAGCTGCGGTTGGGGTGGAGACAAAGGGACTCTGCCACCCGTGGGGTTGAGCTGGGCATGGCCCTCCCCAGCCAGACAGTGTTCATGGGATTGGTGCAATCCATGGGGGTTCCCCTTCCCTGTCTTGCTGCAGGATTCTCAATCCTGGTTCCTCCATCTCTGCTCTGTTCTGGCTCAGGGTTTCAAGCCCAGCTCGGGGACGGTGCAGGAGCTGAACTTCCGCAGCAGCAAGAACGTCTGGGGCTACTTCAGCGTGGCAGCAGCTGGGGGGCTGCACGAGTTTGCTGATTCCCAGTTTGGACACTGCTTCTCATGGGGAGAGAACCGGGAGGAGGCCACCTCGTGAGTGTGGTGGGATGAGTTGGAGGGCGTGTGCCTTGGGAGGAGTCACAGTTGGTGTGTGAGCTGGGAAAAGTGGTTTTTATCTGACAGAACCAGAATGGTGCTGCTGTGCTAAGCACCTGTCTGTCTGGCCAAAGCCAGAATTTTCTGGACTGTGGTGGTGCTACAGCCCCAGTTCATCCACCTGTTTCTCAAGGGCATGTTGAAGCCATCTGCTGAGCATTACTTAGTGCCCATGAGCAGCAGTGTCCATCAGGAACTGAGCAGCAGTTTCATGGACAGGCTGATGGGGCTTGGAGTAACTTGATCTAGTGTCCCTGTCCATGGCAGGGGGTGGAACAAGAGAATTTTTAAGGTCGCTTCCAACCCAAATCATGCAGTGGCTATAAAGGTGCTGGGGGCTCAGGAGCTCATCATCCTAGGCCCTGAAACTCCCCAGTTCCCTCTGCTGGGAGCCAAGTGCCACCTTCTCAGTCATTAATGAAGGACTTTTCTCCCTGAAAGGAACATGGTGGTGGCCCTGAAGGAGCTGTCTATCCGTGGGGATTTCCGGACCACGGTGGAGTACCTGATCAAGCTGCTGGAGACAGAGAGCTTCCAGAACAACGAGATCCACACGGGCTGGCTGGACCACCTGATTGCTGAGAAAGTGCAGGTGGGGGTGATGCCCTGGGGTCACCACTCCCCTCCCTCGGGATAAAACCCAAACCCTGTTGTTTTTGCCCCCACAGGCAGAGAAGCCAGACACGATGCTGGGGGTTGTCTGTGGTGCCCTGAATGTGGCAGATGCTGCTTTCAGAACGTGCATGAGTGACTTCCTGCACACCCTGGAGAGGTGCGGAGTGGGGGCTGCACAGGGGGGGGCTCAGTCATGTGGAATCATCTGATTCCACCAGATCAGGTTGCTCCAAGCCCCATCCAACCTTGCCTTGAGGAATTCCAGGATTGGGGCAGTCACAATGGAGACCTAAGTGTTGTTCTGGGGCATCTTCCTTCCAGTTTTGCTTTACAAGTTCAGTGACAGTAGTGAGTGCTGTGATAGGCAGGGACAGGAGTATCTGGATCCTCAGCTATCAGTTTGTCTGGACAGTAGGAAAGGCTTCCACTGGCTGGGAAAACAGTTTTCAAGGGGAAGTGGCTTGGCTCTGCAGTTTGCTTTTGTTGTTGAGTATCAAGGTTATTCCTCCAGCCTTGGAGGCCTCCCAGGGCTCTCCCATGTGCCTTATCTGAGTGTTTTCCCAGTGCCTGGCCTCCCTCCAGACCTGGCTGTGCATGGTGCTCATGTGGGTCACTTAAAGCTGACACTTGTCCCCTCTGGTCACCATTGTGCCCTCCCACCAGGACTGGGAGCACTGCTGACATCCCACAGGCTTGGAGAGGCTGGGAATGCCCTGGGGCCTGATCCCTCCATTGTTTTTCAGGGGCCAGGTGCTGCCAGCAGCCTCTCTGCTGAACATTGTCGATGTGGAGCTCCTCTATGAGGGTGTGAAGTACATTCTGCAGGTGAGGACAGGGCTGTGCTCCCCCCAAATCAGCCACAGTGCTTCTCAAGGGGTCAGGGACATGCTTCTGTCCCAGGGGAGAAAACTGAAATAAACACAGAGCTGTCCTTTAAAAATGGGCAACATAAAAATGAGCTTAATAACCTCATAACCTTAATAACCTCATTTTAACCTGACAAACATTTTCATACACCCCGTTGCCCTGAGTTATTAAGGGACTTCGTTTTCTTGCTTTTAAACCAAATTAGTTGGACTTCATGAAAAACTCCTTACTCACGATGAAAGTGGGTGAGCCATGTGTTGCACCAGCTCTGGGCTGTGAGTTGAGTTAAACCAGTTCTGGGCTGCGAGTTAAACCAGCTCTGGGCAGAGTTGAGTTAAACCAGTTCTGGGCTGCGAGTTAAACCAGTTCTGGGCTGTGAGTTGAGTTAAACCAGTTCTGGGCTGTGAGTTAAACCAGCTCTGGGCAGAGTTGAACAGCTCCTGGGTGCAGCCTGAGGTTGTGCCTCCTGCCTTGCCAGCACAGCCCCATCCCATGGGAGCAGCCCATGGGGAGGTGCCCCCCCAGCCCCCAGCCTTGCTGTCCAGTGTGTTTTGGGGTTGCACTGATGGTGTCCCCTGCCCGCAGGTGGCCCGCCAGTCGCTGAGCACCTACGTGGTCATCATGAACCGCACGCACATTGAGATCGACGTGCACCGCCTCAACGACGGGGGGCTGCTGCTCTCCTACGATGGCTGCAGCTACACCACCTACATGAAAGAGGAGATCGACAGGTACCCCCTGCCAGGGCTACCATCCCCCCTCCCCGATGGCCACCAGCTGGCTGGTGACACCTTTCCCTGTCCCTTAGGTACCGGATCACCATCGGCAACAAAACGTGCACCTTCGAGAAGGAGAAGGACCCGACGGTGCTGCGCTCTCCGTGCGCGGGGAAGCTGCTGCAGTACATGGTGGAGGACGGCGGCCACGTGGATGAGGGGAAGGTTTATGCAGAGATCGAGGTGAGCTTTGCAGAAGAGCTGGAGGAGCAGAATTTTTGGTGCTGCTGGCTCGGTGACTGTGTCTCTTCCTTCCCAGGTGATGAAGATCATCATGACGCTGACGGTGGAGGAGGCAGGGAAGCTGAACTACGTCAAGCGGCCGGGAACGCTGCTGGAGGCTGGCTGTCTCATTGCCCGCCTCCAGCTCGATGATCCCTCCAAAGTGAAGCCTGTGAGTCTCCTAGGGGCTGCCATCCCCTCCTGCCAGCTCCCAGTTGGCATCCTGGGAATGCTCCCTAGGAGACAAGAGACAAAATGGAGGAGCTGCTCTAGTGGAGCATCACAGTGAAGGTCATGCCATGTCCTTGGGTTGTCTTTGGGTTCAAGTGCTGCTCCACTCTGCTTCCTCGATGTGTAGGAGCTCAGATGCACTAAAAAGTGCATTTATAGCACTAAAATCTCCAGTTTTTCCGTGTTATTTTCATCATGAGACTCTGGTAGATCCACTATGCTCAATGTCAGGTGCTTCTTCATACCTGACACAAAGCTGGGTTGTGCTGGGTTTCTGGGGCAGCTGCAGCTCTCAGGAGCTCTGTTTCTGACAACAACAACAGTTCAGCCCACCTCCCTCTGCCCTCTCCAGGCAAATCCATTCACAGGGGGACTCCCAGCCCAGCAGACCCTCCCCATCACTGGTGAGAAGCAGCACCAGGTTCTGCGCAACGTTCTGGACAACCTGACCAACGTCATGAACGGCTACTGCCTGCCTGAGCCCTACTTCACGACCAAGGTGGGTGCCAGGCACCATGGGTTCCACCCAGTTGCCACGAGGGCAGGTCCAGCAGCACCATCTTCTGCTCCTGCAGGTGAAGGAGTGGGTGGCACAGCTGATGAAGACCCTGCGGGACCCTGCCCTGCCCCTGCTGGAGCTGCAGGAGATCATGACGAGCATTTCGGGACGGATCCCACTGGCTGTGGAGAAGTCCATCCGGAAGGTGATGGCGCAGTACGCCAGCAACATCACCTCCGTGCTCTGCCGCTTCCCCAGCCAGCAGGTGAGTGCCAAAGGGGACTCACATCCTCTGCACTGGAGCCAGCTGGGAGCTCCTGCCTCAGTTTGTGCAGCCAAGATTTTATAACAAATGAAATGAGTGAGGGAAATATGTGGAGGTTTATATTTTGTATGTGTGTTTGGTTTTGTATGTGTATTGGCTTCTGTGTGTGCCTTTCTTTTTTATATTAATTTGTCACTTTGCATTTTTCACTTTGGGAAAAAAAAGTCAAGGGAAAGGCTCTAGGTGGAGTAAGCAAAGGGGAGATGGCAGCCTCGTGCCCCTGAGCCACCCTGGACCCTGTCCCCTCTCCCCACAGATCGCCAACGTGCTGGACACCCATGCAGCCACGCTGCAGAGGAAGGCTGAGCGGGAGGTCTTCTTCATGAACACCCAGAGCCTGGTGCAGCTGGTGCAGAGGTGAGCCCCATACTGTCTGTGACCCCCATGTCCCCCCACAGCCACCTCCTCACAGCATGATGGGCTCTTTGCTCCCCAGGTATCGCAGCGGCATCCGGGGCTACATGAAGGCAGTGGTGCTGGACCTGCTCAGGCGCTACCTGCAAGTGGAGACACAGTTCCAGCATGGTGAGGGCTTGGGGCTCTCTGAGGGAGTTGCAGGGCTCTCTGGAGGAGCTGCAGGGCTCACCAGACCCTGCCCCACAGCTCACTATGACAAGTGTGTCATCAGCCTGCGGGAGCAGTGCAAACCCAACATGACCCCCGTGGTGGAGAGCATCTTCTCCCATGCCCAGGTGGCCAAGAAGAACCAGCTGGTGATCATGTTAATTGTGAGTACAGCCTGTGCCTGAGACCCCAGGAGCAAAGGCTGGTGGCAGGGAAGAGTCAAGGCAGCTCTGCATTGTTTGAAGTGTCCATTTGTGCCTCATTATCGGTTTATTTTAATTATCTTCCCTCTGTGGTGTTTCGTGACTATGCTTGGGTCAAAGAGAGCCCATTTTAGTCCCTTGGGTCTTGTCCCCTTTGGCTGCACGGGGCTGGGATGCAGGACGAAGCCATCCCACAAAGTGAGGAGCCTGAGCTGAGCCATGGTGGTTGTGACCTTGCAGGACCAGCTGTGTGGCCGTGACCCCACACTGACAGATGAGCTGACAACCATCCTCCATGAGCTGACACAGCTCAGCAAGACCGAGCACTCCAAAGTGGCACTGAGAGCCCGGCAGGTCAGCCAGCACCATGCAGTGCCACCCCATTCCTGTCCCCATCCCTGTCCCCCATGCTCCCAGCTCCTCTCTCCCCTGGCAGGTGCTCATTGCCTCTCACATGCCCTCCTACGAGCTGCGGCACAACCAGGTTGAGTCCATCTTCATCTCTGCTATCGACATGTACGGACATGAGTACTGCCCTGAGAACCTGAAGGTTGGGAATTGTGTGTTTTTCCAGAGGGAATTTGGGTGGCTTCGGGATGGGGATCTGGCTGCAAGTGATTTAGTCTTTAAAACAACTAAAAATCATTCAAAACCTTACTGTAGTGGCTGTGTGGAGGAGAGGAGGGGGTGCACCGCAGTCCCTATGCATTGCTCCATGTTCCATTTGAGAGGGAACAGATGTGTGGATCCATGTCTGACTCTTCTGGTTTCCCCATAGTGGGCTGGGTATTCCATGGCACCCTGGTGACCAGTCCTGCACTTAAATGGAGCAGGGAAGTCTCACTTCGTCCTTGCCCTAAATTTTCCTTTCTTCCCACAGAAACTGATCCTGTCAGAAACCTCCATCTTTGATGTGCTCCCCGTGTTCTTCTACCACACCAACAGGGTGGTGCGCATGGCAGCGCTAGAGGTGAGGCCTGGGAGGAACACAGGGGGCCTGAGGGTGGCATGGGGGGCCCAGGGGTGGCAGGGGCAAGGTGGCACCTCCTGTGTCCCCTCACAGGTGTACGTGCGGCGGGGGTACATCGCCTATGAGCTGCACAGCCTGCAGCACCAGCAGCTCTCTGATGGCACCTGCCTCGTGGAGTTCCAGTTCATGCTGCCCTGCTCCCACCCCAATAGGTACAGGGGTCCCTGCCACACACCTGTCCTGGTGCCCTGGACACAAAGCCTTTCACAAAGCTTTGTATCATCCCCTCTGCGCAAAGTGGGTGCTGCCACCACACTGTCCCATTACCTGTGGAGCAGGATGAGCCCTCTCCAGGTCAAGGTCTCCTATGGGAGCTGTGTGGTCCCACATGGTGCCTTCCCCAGAGCTGACACTTGCTCCCCATGGCAGGATATCCATCCCTGTCAGCATCACCAACCCTGACCTGGCCCGGCACAGCACTGAGCTCTTCATGGACAGCGGCTTCTGCCCCGGGAGCCAGAGGATGGGAGTCATGGTGGCCTTCCGCAGATTTGAGGACTTCAAAAGGTGGGGGTGCAGGGACACACCTGGCCAGTGTTTGTGCATTTTGGGTCATTGGAGAGCAAACTGGGGTGGAAGAGCCACAGCTGGGGGCAGCTGGGTGGTGTTAGAGGCAGCTCCAGTTCCCAGCGTAGCTGCAGACTGGGTATTCTCAGTACAACATTTACCTTGTGGGGACACGAGGAACGTGGGGAAAACTTACATGGCACAGCTTATATTTAAACATTAATGCAGCAGAGCCCAAAGCTGCATTTCTTAAGCTGTGGGTTTGCTGTGGGATGGTGGGGCCATTGTGCTGGTACCTGTGTCTCTGTCACGCTGTCACAGTGGGTTCCTGGCGCTGTCCCTTCAGGCAGGAGGTGGGCACAACATGCTGGCTTGTGACCCCACCTCTGCTGTTTGGGCAGGAACTTTGATGAAGTGATCTGGTGCTTCTCCAACTCGTCGGACAGTGGGCTCCTCAGTGATGCACAGGCCACCACCTACGATGAGGAGGACACCAAGGTAGGCATGAAGCTGCTGCTGGTGTCCCCAGGTGGTGCTGGGACAGCACTGATGCTGCTGACCAGGGTTGACTGTAGGGTTTTGTTGCCAGAACATCCATGAGGAGCCAATCCACATCCTCAACATCGCGCTCTGCTCAGCTGACCACGCGGAAGATGAGAAGCTGGTGCCCATCTTCAGAGCCTTTGCCCAGTCCAAGGTTTGTTGCTGGGGCTGGACCCTCTTTTTGTAAACTCTGCAAGCCAGAACACTGTACCCAAGGACACTGCCTCCTCTCCACGCAGTGCACCCCAAAATGCTGCAGTTTAGGTTTTGTTTGCTCCCTTGGTGGAGATGTTTAAGCTCTCTTAACTGGCGGCATTTTCTGTTTCTGTGTAGAAAAAGATCCTCGTTGAACATGGTCTCCGGAGAATCACGTTCCTCATTGCCCAGCAGGTGAGTGCAGCTCAGATTCTGACATCTATAAATACCTTGCAGACACAGCACTGAGTGATGGATGGACCCACTGTGCTTCAGGAGCTGGGAATTAATTAATGAGCAATTCAATGAGAGATTCATCTCCTGTATAATCCTTTATCCTGCTCATGTTTCCAGTAACGTGATTCCTGCAGAGCCACTCCATAGCTTTAAGGTGCCTTTAGAAGCCATCACAGAGTAGAAGCCCAGAGTGGTTTGGGTGAGAAGGGACCTTAGAGTTCCTCCTGTTCCACTCCCTGCCATGAGGTGGAACTCTCCACTGTCCCAGGTTTCTCCAAGCCCTCTCCAACCTGGCCTGGGACACTTCCAGGGATGAGGCAGCCACAGCTTCTTTGGGCAGCCTGTACCAAGGGCTCACCTCCTTCACAGGGAACAATTCCTTCCTAAAATCCAATCTAATCAATCCCTCCCAGCCCTTTTCCCTTTGGGGGAGAACAAATCCTGCGAAGTTTTTTTTTAATGGAGAATCAATCAATGGAGAATCAACAATCCTCTGTGGGCCAGGCCTATTCACATTGCCTTCTCTCTCCCTTTTGCTGCAGAGAGAATTCCCAAAGTTCTTCACGTTCAGAGCCAGGGACGAGGTAAGATCCCATGGGAGCGGTGCCAGCGTGGCGCCAGCCTGACCCTGGCTCACGGCTGTGCCCGGCAGTTCGCAGAGGATCGGATCTACCGGCACCTGGAGCCGGCGCTCGCCTTCCAGCTGGAGCTGAGCCGCATGCGCAACTTCGACCTGACGGCCATCCCCTGTGCCAACCACAAGATGCACCTGTACCTGGGGGCTGCCAAGGTTCAGGCGGGCACCGAGGCCACCGACTACCGCTTCTTCATCCGCGCCATCGTGCGCCACTCCGACCTCATCACCAAGGCAGGGTGGCACCCTGGGGCACAGTGAGGGTGCGGGGGTGGCCTGGCCCCTGCTGAGCCACCTGCTCCATCACAGGAGGCTTCCTTCGAGTACCTGCAGAACGAGGGCGAGCGGCTGCTCCTGGAGGCCATGGATGAGCTGGAGGTGGCTTTCAACAACACCATTGTGCGCACCGACTGTAACCACATCTTCCTCAACTTCGTGCCCACCGTCATCATGGACCCGTCCAAGGTGTGTTTCTTGGGGTCCTGCTTCCTCTGTCCTGGAAAAGTCTCTCTGTCATCCCCTGTGCTCAGGACCACTGCACAGATGGGCAGCCCCCACCGTCTTTCCCTGTCCCTAGTGGAGAGGGTGGATATCAGCACCAGGCCCACGAAGAGACAGAAGGGACTCACCCAAAGCAAATCCGAAATGGCTGTTTGGGGTGGACATGCAACAGGGCTGCTCCAGCCGTGGCACTGTGTGCTCAGTGCTGTCCCTGAGGTCACCAACCCCCCCTTTGTGCCATCCCCTGTGCAGATCGAGGAGTCAGTGCGCTCCATGGTGATGCGCTACGGCAGCCGCCTCTGGAAGCTGCGTGTGCTGCAGGCTGAGGTGAAGATCAACATCCGCCTGACGCCCACTGCCACCGCCATCCCCATCCGCCTCTTCCTCACAAACGAGTCCGGATATTACCTGGACATCAGCCTCTACAAGGAAGTGAGGGACCCCGGCACTGGCAGCGTGAGTAACCCAGTAGTGACTGCAGGAACAGAACCATGGCTGCCTGAGAGCTGCCAGCTCCAGCAGAGCTTTGGGGGGGCTTCTGCAAAACTCCTTGTGAACGTGCAGTGCTGGTCTGCCCAGAGCTCCCAAACTTCCAACAGCATTCCCACAGCTGGGTTGGTTTCATCCATCTGTCTGCATCCACTTGGGGTGGTGCTTTATTCAAAATGTGCTGAGCTTCACCTAATTGGGTTCCTTGACTTGATGCTGGTGTGGAGCTGGGCAGTTTTGAGTGCTGGAGGTGATGGTCAGTGTTAGGGTGTCACTAGTACTGGCAGCACATCAGTGTGGCAGTCCCCTCATTAGTAAAAAATAGGGTGGAAAATCACCTTGACCAAGCAGGGCTCAGCAGTGCTCCAGAAAAAGTCACCATGACATCCAGGGAAGGCAACCAATGCTCTGCTTTTCTCTCCAGATCATGTTCCAGTCGTATGGGGACAAGCACGGGCCACAGCATGGGATGCTCATCAACACCCCCTATGTCACCAAGGACCTGCTTCAGGCCAAGCGCTTCCAGGCACAGTCCTTGGGCACCACCTACGTGTATGACTTCCCAGAGATGATCAGGCAGGTGAGTCTGGCTGAGTAGAAAGAGGCTCCAAATTACTGCTCTTTATCCCCAAATATTCCCACCTAAGGAAAAGGTCTTTCTCCTCAGGCTGTCAAATGAGAAAACAAAAAGAGCCCAAGCTCCAACATTTTTGGTTATATGAAACATTTCTAAACCAATTCCTAGCTCTTGGAATTTCTGAAACTAGATGGTCTTTAAGGTCTCTTCCAAGCTAAACCATTCCAAGCAACGTGCTGTGTCTCCACAGGCTCTCTTCAAGCTGTGGGGCTCCTCGGACCTGTATCCCAAGGACATCATGACCTACACTGAGCTGGTCCTGGACTCTCAGGGGCACCTCGTGCAGATGAACAGGGTTCCTGGAGGGAACGAGGTAGCAGGGAATTGTTTGGAATTGGGCAGAGGAAGCAGGTGGGAATGGCTGGTGTCTTAGTCTGGCTGTGTTTAAAGCTTGGGAGATGCTCCTCAACCATTTTGTCTGTTGGTTAATGCCACCTGCTGCTCAGCCCCTGTGTCTCTTGGACGTGGCGCTCAGTGCTCTGGTCTAGTTGACAAGGTGGTGATCAGTCAAGCATTGGACTCAGCAATCTTGGAGCTCTTTTCCAGCCTGGTTAATTCTGTGATTCTGTAAATGACTCTCTGACTCTCTGGAGATTCTTCCCTGTAACCTTATGCCGTTTCGAGGCAGGTGGGGATGGTTGCTTTCAAAATGAAGCTGAAGACCCCTGAGTACCCCAAAGGCCGGGACATTGTGCTCATCTGCAACGACATCACACACAAGATTGGCTCCTTTGGGCCTGAGGAGGACCTGGTGTTCCTGAGGGCCTCAGAACTGGCACGGGCTGAGGGCATCCCGCGCATCTACATCGCCGCCAACAGCGGTGCCCGCATCGGCTTCGCTGAGGAGATCAAACACATGTTCCAGGTGGCCTGGGTGGACCCAGCTGAGCCCTTCAAGGTGTGTGGGCACCTCCCCTCCTGCAGCTCAGGAAACAGCAGAGGGTCCACCTGGGGAAGGGATGAGCAGAGTTAAACTGGGATGTCAAGTTGTGGGATTAGAGCAGGGATTGAGGCCATGCCTGCACCCAGCACCATGGGGATGGTTCCTTTGGTTTCTCCCACGTGGAGATGAAGGTGCCAGTGCTGGCATGGCTGCTCTGTTCAGCTCTGGTCCCTGAGCTGCTGCACAGCATGGTTTGGGATAGGTTTGGGAAAGGACCATGTCCCATGTGATCATGTGTGTGGGGGCTCCATAAGTCATCCTTCTCATCTTTCCTTGCAGGGGTTCAGGTACCTGTACCTGACTCCCCAGGACTACACGAGGATCAGCGCCATGAACTCGGTGCGCTGTGAGCACGTGGAGGAAGGTGGAGAGTCCAGGTGAGTCCCATATCCCATGAGACACACAGAGCCACCCTAAACTCACCAGGATTCAGCTCCCACCTCATCATCCTGCCAGGCACATCATGCAGGTGAGTGCTTCCCAGACCACAGCTCCACTTTCTCTGCAGGTATGTCCTGCTGGACATCATTGGGAAGGACAATGGATTTGGGGTGGAAAACCTGAGAGCTGCTGGTACCATAGCTGGGGAGTCCTCCCGTGCCTATGACGAAATAGTGACCATCAGCATGGTACAGTGGGGCCCTTCCCCTCCCTGCTCCTCCCCTCTCTCCTGCTGGATCTTGTCACCATGGGAGGGGGGACAGGATGCAACAAGCCCTTCACAGCATCCTTCTCCAGGTGTGTGCTGCAGCCCGAGTGACCCCAGGTGTCCCTTTGTGTGTGCCCAGGTGACTTGTCGTGCCATCGGCATCGGTGCCTACCTGGTGAGGCTGGGCCAGCGTGTCATCCAGGTGGAGAACTCCCACATCATCCTCACAGGTGTCACAGCTCTCAACAAGGTACCAAGCTCTGGCTGCATGTCCTCCATGGCACTGTCCTTCTCACCTCTACCTGTGTGGGCTCCTTCCCTGTCCCATGGAACATCAGCCTGGATAGAGGTGGAAATTCAGCCTCAGCCTAGAGGGAATTTGCCTGTGCAGAGGTTTGGGCTGACAAACAGAGCAAGGGAGCAGCTCCTGTGTCAGCAGAGTCCCTTGTGTTTCCCTAGGTGCTGGGACGGGAGGTTTACACATCCAACAACCAGCTGGGAGGAGTGCAGATCATGCACAACAACGGTGTTTCTCATGTCACTGTCCCAGATGACTTTGAGGGGGTCTACACCATCCTGCAGTGGCTCTCATACATACCCAAGGTAGGAGGGTGCTGCAGGGGGGAAGGAGGGGGATGTCACTCATACCTGGCTGGTGACCTGCCCTCGGGGTCTCCCTTACAGGATAACCAGAGCCCAGTGCCTGTCACTGCCATAGTTGACCCTGTTGAAAGAGAAATTGGTTTTGTCCCTTCCAAAGTCCCCTATGACCCCAGGTGGATGCTGGCAGGGAGACCCCATCCAAGTAAGTGAGAACAACCCAAAGCCTGTGCAGCACTGCTCCCAAATGCATCCTGTAGGTGCAGAAGATGCTCTTGGCTGTGGGTTGGTGTTCAGGAACCTTTCAGTGCTTGCCCTTGCACCATTCCATGTTTTCCTGTGCTCTGCAGCTCTCAAAGGGACCTGGCAGAGTGGCTTCTTCGACCAGGGCAGCTTCATGGAGATCATGAAGCCGTGGGCTCAGACCGTGGTGGTTGGCAGAGCAAGGTACTGCCAGGAGCTGGGATCCTGCATGTGTGGCCCCTCACCTTCAATCCCTGTCTGTGGCACTGCTTTTGGGATGGTGGAGAGGGAGCAGCTCTCTGGTGGGGCTGGGGTGGAGGGGAACTGCCCTTGCTGAGCCCACCCTGCCCTGCCACAGGCTGGGAGGTCTCCCTGTGGGTGTCATCGCTGTTGAGACCCGCACCGTGGAAGTGACAATACCTGCTGACCCTGCCAACCTGGACTCAGAGGCAAAGGTGAGTGGGGTACAGCTGGGGCCAGGTGGCATCTGAGAGGAACTGGAGGGAAGGGAGGAGTAATAGCTCAGCATGATCCTTGGGCATTATTTTCCTTAATTCAGGTGAAATCAAGGGTGCTGGGGCAGTTTGTTTTCTTGCAGCTGTTTCATGCAGCATGCCAGGAAGAACTGGCACAGTTTCAGCTGCTCACTGTCTTTTCCAGATAATCCAGCAGGCTGGACAGGTCTGGTTCCCAGACTCTGCTTTTAAAACAGCCCAGGCCATTCAGGACTTCAACCGGGAGCACCTCCCACTGATGATCTTTGCCAACTGGAGAGGCTTCTCCAGCGGCATGAAAGGTACCTGTGCTTGGGATGCCCACATTCCCATGGTGTGTGACAAAACTCTGTCACCCCTGCCATCCTACAGGGTCCTGGGATAGCCCAGCTTACCAGGGTATGCACCACTCTGGGATATGGGGTTGGGTTGGGCTGGGGAGGTCATGGGGGTTCACAGGGCAGAGCTCCCAGGGGTTGGTGGCTTCCTGCTGGCTGGTTTTGCAGGCTGCTTTGTCTCTCCAATAGACAAGGTGGCTTTGGGCAGCTGGGAGCAGGCTGGGACAGTGGCAATTGTGACACCCAGCCCCTGAGTCCCTTTGTGTTTCAGACATGTACGACCAGATGCTGAAGTTTGGCGCCTTCATCGTGGACAGCCTGCGGGACTTCAAGCAGCCGGTGCTGGTGTACATCCCCCCTCACGCCGAGCTGCGCGGTGGCTCCTGGGTGGTCATTGACTCCACCATCAACCCCCTGCACGTGGAGCTCTACGCTGACAAGGAGAGCAGGTCAGCATCCTGAACACTTGTGTGGGTCATCCAAAATACCTGTGTGTGTCATCTTGTCCTAGGATTTATTCTCCCATGCATACTGGTCCTTGCTTTACCAAACTTCCCTTCCAGGGGAGGCATTTTGGAGCCTGGAGGAACAGTGGAGATCAAGTTCAGAAAGAAGGATTTGGTGAAGACCATGAGAAGGATTGATACAGTTTATGCCGAGCTTGTTGAACAGATGGGTAAGGAAAGGGAGTTTTGGGTTGTGGACGCTGGTGGTGGTAAGTTAAACATGAGGCTCAAGCACTTTGGTGGCAATCAGTAGGAGTCCTTTAGTGTCCTTCTGGGAAAACTCATTTTGTCTTTTCTGTTGGTGGAGCTGAGAGGATGTGGTGGTACTTTAGAACACCTGGTATCTCCTGGGGGCTCCATCAATGGGTTAAATGGGGCTGGGGTCTTCTCCCATGCTTTGAGATGAAGGATGGCCATGGCCACGTTGAATTGATTCCTGATGCATCAGGAGCTCCTTGCCCCCATGTCCCTCCAGCCTGCCACAGCATGGTCCCACAAAGTCCTTGCAAATGCCATCTCCCCTTTCATGTAGCAGGCACTGAGTGTGGTGTGACCTCTTTGTGGCTTGTATGACTTTGGTGTCAGCGTGCCAAGGAAAGAGCCATGGCACTGGGCACGGTGGCTGATGTGGCAGCATAGAGGCGACACCCTGGTGGCATCACCGGGGGGCTGCTCAGCCCGCTGTGTCCCGCAGGCTCCCCCGAGCTGTCGGAGGCGCAGCGCAAGCAGCTGGAGCAGCAGCTGAAGGCGCGGGAGGAGCTGCTGCTGCCCGTGTACCACCAGGTGGCCGTGCGCTTCGCAGACCTGCACGACACCCCGGGCCGCATGCAGGAGAAAGGGGTCATCACGGTGAGCGGGGCACCGGGGAGGGGCCCTGAGGTGACAGGCAAAGGTGGGGGGAAAATCCCTCTCCTGTGGCATCCCTGCCCTCCATCCCGCCGGAGCCGGGAGCCAGCAGACGCCGGCAAACCCGGGCTGTGCTCGGTTTCCCCAGGACATCCTGGAGTGGAAGAGCGCCCGCTCCTTCCTCTACTGGCGGCTGCGGCGGCTGCTGCTGGAGGAGATGGTGAAGGGGGAGGTGCTGAAGGCCAACAGCGAGCTCACCCACATCCACATCCAGTCCATGCTGCGGCGCTGGTTCATGGAGACAGAAGGAGCTGAGAAGGTACCCCCAGCCCCGGCCTCCTGAGGCACCTCCAGCCAGGGCATCCCGAGGGATCTCAGCTTGCTCTGCCACCATTCAGAGGTTTCAGTGGTGTTTCAGTGTGTGATGGGAATGTGTGAGGATGGGCGGTGAAGCAGCCCTGGGCTGGGGCTGGCTCTTCAAATCAGGTGACTCCAGTTGGGTCCTGGTGCTCAGTGATGGCAAAATGGTCCCCAAATTAACATTTTTTATTTCCCAGGGCAAAAGTGGGATTTTTAGCATTTGGGCTGCTCTCAAATTACACACCTGTGCCTGCTTCGGGAAGTAGAACCTGCAAAGGAACCGCGTTTTACCTTTTTGCTTTTAAGTGGTTTGCAAATAGGTGCAGGTCAGGGAAGAAAAATCACATGGCCTGGATTTGGGGCTCCGGAAGGAGGGGAGGGGCTTGGGCTGGGCAGGCAGCAGAACCCCCTGCCCACAGTGCTGCTTTCTCCAGGGCTACCTCTGGGACAACAACCAGGTGGTGGTGGAGTGGCTGGAGAAGCACATGCAGGAGGAGGATGGCACCCAGTCAGCCATCAGGCAGAACATCAAGTACCTGAAGCGGGATTACATCCTCAAGCACATCCGGAGGTGAGTGCTGTGGGAGCTGGGATGAGAAGGGGCCCCTGGGGTGGGAACAGCAGCTGGTGGAGACCAGACAGTTCTCACTTTAGCCTCTCTCTGCCCTGTGCCTTGCAGCTTGCTCCAGGCCAACCCCGAGCTGACCATGGACTGCATCGTGCAGATGGCTCAGCACATCACCGGCCCACAGAAGGCCCAGGTCGCCCATCTCCTGTCCAGGGTGGACACTGATGATCCCTCCTGATCTGGACAATCACCACAGGGTAGGAGAAGCACCAGGACACAGCCACACCTCACTTGCTCACCTGGCTCCTCAGCCCTTGAACTGAAGCCTTGGACTCTTGCTTATGTGCCTAAATAAAGGACACCAGTGCTTTTAAGTATTTTAAGCCATGGAGATGGTCTTGCCATCCATGCAGTCCTCTCTGGCACTGCGGGTGCTGCCAGAAGATGAACTTGTCCTGAGCCAAGCCTGGAATCTGGACCTGGTGCAGAACATGGTTTTAAAAAGAATCCAAAATATTTTCCTGTTTTAGTTGCCAGCCCTTGGTCTTCCAAACAAGCACCAGGTCAGACACATCTCATGAGACTGGACAGAGCTGGAGGCACAGACCCCTGGCCAGGGCCAGTGTCCAGCTGGCTGGGTTCAAGCTGACCAGGCACCAAGACCAGGAAATAAGAAGCAGCCTCCAAGTGATGCTTTATAAATTGTGAGGAGCAATTTCTGTCATCCTTACCCTCATTGGGGAGCAAAGAGAAAATGTGGCCATGAGTAGCTGATGGTCCAGGAAAGACCTCAGTGAGCTAATCTGGGAGCTGCTCCCTTGGGAAAGTCCAAGGATCCATCAGGCTTTGGCTGACCTGGCTGTGCCTCTCGTGTCCTTTCTGGCTCCTGCAGAGCATGGAGAGGAGGGAGGATGGCTCCAGGGACCTGGTTCCTCCTTGGAAGCAGCAGAGCCAGGGGGAGCTGTCACCTGCTGGAACCTGCTGCTCAGGTAGCCTTTGATCATCTTGGTTGTGGAGGGGAAATTTGAGGTTTTCCAGTGCCTCTGGCTGTGTCATTTCCCCAGCACAGATTTACTTTGGGCTCAAAAGGAGGAGGTGGGATGGCAATGGAAGGTGGGACAGCTGGCTCAAGTGCAGTGCTGGTATTGCCCTGGGTGAAGGTGTTGGACACCTCCTGGGATCCCGCAATGTCTGTAGGAGGTCTCCTGTCCTGGGGTGGGGATGGGAAGGGTCTTGTGGGTCACTTCCTGGCTGGAAGGTGTCACTGCTGACAGGCAATAAAGTGAGCTCAGCTCCCAGGGAACTCCCTGACCTCTGTGTCTTCTGTCATTGTCCTGAGCAGGGCCTGGTGTCTCTGGCACTGGGCAGCCCCTTCTCTGTGGCACAGGACCTGTTTGGGGTGGGGAACTCTGAACATCCCTCCTGCCACCCCCTGTCCCCACTCCAGAGCCTTTCCAGGCATTTCAGAGGGTTTCAGGAACAGGGTGACAGCCCAGGGGAAGAACTCTGACACTAAATACCTGTAAACTCTTAGAGTAAATACCTGTAAACTCTTACTCTCCTGGAGGATTTGAGCCAAGGATCCACCTTCAATTTGGCCATAGGGGTCTGTAAAGGGAAAAAAGCTTAGGAAACCCAGCATGACCCCAGAGCAGGCACCACACAGCACATCCAGAATGCCCCAGGCATAGTGCTAAGAAATGTTTATTAAAAAAAGCAAAGACATTGTAGGTGACACCAGTCACAGCAAAGGATCATTCATCACATTTGTCCTTGGACAATAAATTATGACGTGGAGCATCATGGTGCCCTTTGGAAGAGGTTGCCATGGAGGGATGCACTGGGAGGATACAGATGTTTCCAAGCCCCCTGATCTTCATATTTTCAAGCAAGAAAGTGCCCTGTGGGGCCACTCCAGCATCCTGCACCCTCCAGCTTTAATCCATGGATGGGTGTGGGAGAGAAAAGCCTGGGAGCACCTGGGTACGGCACCGGGAAATTCTCTGAATGCACAGGAACAGACAAAACCCAAGGTATAAATATCACTTTTTGCTGACAGAGGTATAAGTAGACTAAATGCTAAATTCCAACATATTTCAGATGTGTCATCACATTATTTTCAATGAATGTTAACAAGTACAAAGCAGGGTTTGAAATTCTTTTTTAAAAAGCTACATTAGAATCAGGATTTTTAGTTAATTAGCAAAGACTATTATGAAAGGTACAGTGACAATATTTGGTCTCTGAATTTTTTTAAAAGCATGAGTTTCACAGTATCAAAAGTGCTTATTAAAGAAGTGTAGTGTAAAAACTGACAGGATGGTTGTGGTTCTGATGATGAATAATTTAGTGGCTGTAAGAAAGGTTACTGCAGCATTATACAAATTGAACAGTGCTCAGTTCACATAATTTCTTTTCATAACAATAAATATAAATAAATTTACAAATAGTAATACTGCCTAGCACAAGAATAGACAGAAGCACAATACACAAGACTATAAATCTATTTTTTAAAAAAATCCTAAAAATCTGCATAATTCCTAAAATCCTCTAGCCAGTGATCAGTTTAATAGTTCAGTAGTACCACTTCCTTCAGGGGTGAGGACTTTTACAAATCTAGATATAACAATGATCTGCTAGGGAGGTGAGTTTTCCTTTTTTAGTGGTTTTGCTCCTTTTTCCTACCTCCTAACAATAAATTAACAACAGTTACATCAGAAAAGTGTTAGTGGTGCAAACATCTCCAGGTACTGGGGGAGGTCTTTGTCCAATTTGGCAAGTTAAGAAAAAAATGACACACCAGGGGCACAATCAACCAACCTGGGGCTGGCCAGCCCCTTGGCTTGTGGTGGCTTCTGTGACAGTGGTGACACAGCAGCTCCACCACGGTGTGGAATAAATTTAATTCCCTTAACCGGGTGATTTTTAGCTCAGTTACATTCCAGTGAAAGTTCCTGCTGCCTTCCAGGTCCTTCTGGAGAGCTCCCCAGTCCCACAACACAAATGTCCATGCCCTTGCCATGGGGGAAAGTGGTTTCACAAGTCCCAGCTTGATTTATTTTGGCCTCACACGCTGTGGAAGCAGCCAACACATCCCAAAGCAGGACGAAGCCCTTGGAGCTTCCCGGTCGGATTTTAACCACGGGGAAGAACCGTCCCTCGGGATCCGCGGAACGGTGCCAAGCTCAGAGCAGAGGGATGGGTTTGTTGCCTTGGGGGTTCATGTACTGAGCAGCTGCCACATTGTCCAGGGTGGTGTAGGTGGTGTAAAGGCCAGTGACCTGCAGGTCGGAGAAGGAGCGGTCGCTGCCGCTGGACGCGGGCGTGAGGCCGGGCGTGCCCAGCTCGCAGTCGGAGAGATGCAGGGGGGAGTTGCTGAAGGCACCCAGGGTGTCCAGGCTGAAGCTGTCGTCCTTCATCTCCTCCCAAATGTTCCCTGGAAAAGATGGAATCCTGCTCACAGCAGCACATGCCCAGTTCCCCAGGGCTCAGGCTAAAGGGCTTCATTTGATGCTCGAGGGCGGTGCAATGGGCAGCAAGTCTGATCCCCTAAATCCTGGGATTCCAGACCTTTCTGGGCAGCAAGTCTGATCTTCCAAATCCTATGATTCCAGACCTTTCTGGGCAGCAAGTCTGATCCCCCAAATCCTGTTATTCCAGACCTTTCTGGGCAGCAGGTCTGATCCCCCAAATCCTGTGATTCCAGACCTTTCTCCAGCAAGTGTCTGATTCCCCAAATCCTGTGATTCCAGACCTTTCTGGGCAGCAAGTCTGATCCACCAAATCCTGTGATTCCAGATTTTCTGTGTCTGATCCCCCCCAATTCCTGTGATTCCAGACCTTTCTGGGCAGCAAGTGTGTCTATCTCCCAAATCCTCTACTTCCAGACCTTTCCAGACAGCACCTCTCTGCCAGTGCTCTACCCAGGACCATGTCAGGTATTGCCACAAACCAGAGAAGTTCTGCTTGCACAGAAGAAGAACCCCAAGGCATGAGCAGAGCTCTGGTGTGTCACATCCAGCTGGTTGGACACCCCTGCTTCCCCCCACTGGAACCAGGAAGGTGCTTTGCTGTCCCACCTGGCACAGGGACAAAAATCCACTGAGGGTGACCCATGAAGTCACCTTACAGATGCCACCAGCCAACCCCATCCCAGAACATCCCCCTGAGGATCCTGGCTATTTATTCAGCATTAGCACACCCACAAACCCCAGCTGTGCCCTCCCCCAGTGCCTTGCCCCGTACCTTGCAGCGCGAAATCCATGATGCTGGGATCCAGAGCATCCACCTCCGTGCTCATGTCCACCGCCACGCTGGGGAAGTCCGGGGCGCGTCCCATGGGGTGGTGGGGCAGGGGGCTGTGGCTCATGTCAGGCAGGGTGTGCAGAGGAGGGGTTTGTGCAGGTGCTGGCGAGTTGGGGGCGAGGCGAGCCTGGGTCTGGAGCTGGTGGTGCAGCGGCAGGGGCTGCAGGGACAGCGTCATGATGGGCTGGGGCTGGAGCTGGGACACCGAGATGCGGCCCAGGGGGGGCCCCTCGGGCTCGGCCTGCTTGCTGGGCCGCCTGCAGCTCTCGGGTCTGTCGGTGATCAGCTTGTCCAGCTCCTCTGCCCGTTCCAGGGAGGAAAAGAGATGCTTTAACACGTTTGTTCAAGAATGGACTGCCCAAAGAACAACTGCGTTTATGGCGTGAACTGATTGTCACGGTGTGAGAACCAGCACAGGCTGTGACTGTGCAGGGAACAAAGAAATGACACCTAATTCCTTCCCCAAATGCATGGTTATCCCTGACTGAGCCAAAGGAATGATCATGCAACTGCAGAGCAGCCCAGGCACCCCTGGTGGCAGCTCACCCCCAGCTGCAGAGCTCTGTGGTCAGAGAAACACTCAGAATTCTGCTTATCTATAAGTACGAAAAAATTCTGCTTGTCTCCCAAATAACTACAAAAAACTCTTGAATGTTGCAGTGGCACTTTTGCTTTTAAACAAGTAACATGTAATTTATCACTGACTGCATGTTACTGATTTTGTAGCAAAAAAAATTCTGGTTGATTTTGTCAATACCGAGCTCCTGAAAGCTTCGAAAACATGTTTCTTTATAAATAAGATATGTTATAAATAAGAGAGGCAATTATAAATAATTAAGATACAAATAATAAATATATTGTAGAGAATATTCTATATAATATATAGAGATATAGATATATATAGGACTAATATAATCTAATATAATATAATAT